ATACCGATGTATATACCCTCCCGCTTTTCAAGCGGGGGGTATGATAAAGTCCGCCGAGAACCTGTTTTATACGTAATAACTCTCCTCGTGCCCCTGCGCTAAAAATAGCGACATGTATAATACAATAAATACCAATAAAACAAACAGGGCGGGACACTTTGAGAGGAGTGAAAGAGGTCCTTGGGAGTTTTGGTATAAAATTACATTGCAAAAGCTCAAAATCTTCTTGAAATATCGCCCTGAAAAGATAGTGTTAGACACAGAGAGAATGTATAAATTAACGACCTTGAACTTTGACCTTTTGACCTCAAAATCAATAGGGGTATTCCTTAGGCCACAGGGAGTTGTTATATAAAATTTCATTGCAAAAGCTCAAAGGGTTCTCGAGATATCGCGCGGAAACGAAAGTGTTATAACAGACAGAATTTACGAATTTATGACTTTGAGCTTTTGACATTAAAATCAATAGGGTTCTTCTTTGGTCCATAGGGAGTTGCTATGCAAAATTTCATTGCGAAAGCTCAAAGGGTTCTGTGGAAACGAAAGCGTTACGGACAGACGGACGGACGGACAGACCCAAATTAATATCCTCGACTTTTCAAGCGGGGGACAAAAAGCATATACAGTGCAAATAAGCAAAGATCTTGTGATTGCTGATTGAGAGGAAAAAAAGGGTTGTTAACTAATTATACTTTTAAAAAGTAATCAAAACAAGAGGTTCATGGGCCAGCTCGCTCACCTGAGTAACTTTGGCCATTCTGTTCTACTAATTTTTTCCCTTTGTAATACCTTTTGTGGCCCTGCCCTACCCCCAGGGGTCATGATTTGAACAATTTAGAATATACACTGCCTCAGGATGCTTCCACATACTAGTAAGTTTTAAGCTTTTTTGACAGTGGGTTTTGAGAAGATCTTAAAAGTTTCCTATTTATTTCTATGTGAAACGCTGATTCTTCATTATGGCTCCGATCTACATATTTGCAACTACATTACATTAGGATGCTTCTATATATAAATATGACAAATTATGGCTTTGTTCTTCTTCTTGAGATGAAGATTTCTCCTTTATAATATATGTATATATTCTATGTAAAATTTGGTTGTCCATGGTGGTCTCAACTCTACCCCAGGGGTCATAATTTGAACAAACTTGATTCTACACTACTTCTATACAAATATGACAAATGAGGATACATGTATATTCCTCTTTTAAACTCTCTAAGACCGTCCATTGTGGCCCCGGTTTACCTCCGGGGGTCAGGATTTGGAAAGAATTTAAACTACACAACGTGAGAAAGTCTCCACAGAAGTTCTATCTCCTCTGGCCCAGTGGTTCATGAGAAGATTTTTTTAAAGATGTAATTAATTTTAACATATCTCCTTGTAAGAAGGATCAGCCCTTTATTTGAGCAAACTTGAATCCGGCCCATTCACCCAAGAATACTTTTTTTTGTAAGTTTGATTGAAATTATTGGCCCAGTGGTTTTCGAGAAGAAGTCGAAAATATGAAAAGTTTACAGACGGACAAACTGACAAACGGACAAAATGTGATCAAAAAAGCTCACTTGAGCCTTCGGCTCAATTGAGCTAATAACATACGACTTGGCGTACTTTTATAGCCTCCAAAAATTTAGTAAAGGTTATAAACCAAATACTGTCCATTCTTTGGGAAGAAGAATACTGTTGAAGGGTTGATTGTTAGTTCTAATGGAGGTCCGGTAGTTCTTTCTTCTCACACAATGGACAGTTTGAAGTCTTTAACCTACTACAAACCTTTTCTCCATTGATTTTTATAATGTACATGTACTCTAATAGATCTGTTCCAAGGTATCAAAGCATTAATATGACATAATCTTCAATCTGTTATTCCAATTTTGATCCGTTTTATTGTTTTTAAGCCAAAAACAATTCAGTAATTTACATGTAACTGTATAGTAAGTTTTTAAAATCTGTCCATCCTTAAAAATAATGGACGGTATTTAATTATTCATTGGACAGCTACAGGTAAGTTATTGTATTAAGAAAACATACATAATTTTCTTTTAATTGTAAACAACCTTTACCTGAGACTGTCCAATAAGAAGACATAGCATGCTTAATTAATGCAATGGATAAGAAACAGTTCTAAGACAGTACTGTATGAATATAATAGAGTATTAGTAAATTTTACAATATTTATTATACCCCCGCTTGAAAAACGAGAGGATATTTAGTAATCGGTATGTCGTCCGTCCGTCCGTCTTTACGTCCGTCTGTCTGTACGTCCGTCCGTCCGTCTGTCTGTTACGCTTTGGGGTACCAATCTCTTATCCGCAACTCCTCTCATACCACTGAAGGAAATTTGATGAAACTTTCACAGAATCTTTATTACATATTGCCATTGTAACCTCCTATTTAACTTTTTGATCCGACACATATTTGAGGTTTACCATTGCAAAACATGGAAATTGCCATTTTATACATATGTATTTGAGGCGGGGGGTATCATTTAGTGAGCTTATTGCTCACAGTACCAATAGTTTAAAATTAGAAATTGATTGACAACAGACATTTGCTACCAGTGATTCAAAGCAAACTATATATCACAAGAGCAAAAATTACTTAGAATATCTTTTTATACAAATATTTTTTGTTTTGGGGGAAAAAATTCATAAGCTGTCTTTAAAGTAAGTTCTTTAGAAATTATTCGATAAAACATTGAAGTATATGAAAATTCAATAGTTTTTTTCACGATAGGCAGCTTACGAGGGTTGATCCAAAAGCTCGTGGAATTTCTTTATATTTTATTTATCATACACACCGCTTGAAAAACGGGAGGGTATATAGTAATCGGTATGTCCGTTCGTCCGTTTGTTGCGCTTTGGAGTACCTATCTCTTATCCGCAACTCCTCTCATACCACTGAATGGAATTTGATGAAACTTTCACAGAATCTTTATTACGTAATGCCATTCTGCACCTCTTATTTCACTTTTTGATCTGACACATACTTTGGGCTTCCCACAACAAAACATGGACACTCCCATTATATTCATATGGGAGGCGGGGGTATCATTTAGTGAGCTCATTGCTCACAGTACCTCTAGTTATACCCCCTGCTTGAAAAGCGGGAGGGTATATAGTAATCGGTGTGTTCGTCCGTTCGTCCGTCTGTACGTCCGTCCGTCTGTCTGTCACGCTCTGGGGTACCCATCTCTTATCCGCAACTCCTCTCATACCACTGAAGGAAATTTAATGAAACTTTCACAGAATCTTAATAACATATTGCCATTGTGCACCACTTATTCTACTTTTTGATCCGACACATATTTTGGATTTCCCGGTCACAGCAAAACATTGACTTTGCCATTAAACCATATGGGAGGCGGGGGTATTATTTAGTGAGCTCATTGCTCACAATACCTCTAGTTTAGAAGTGAAATTTGTTGAAAATTACAAATGAGAATATAGACACTTGTTGAATATTTTAAATAAAAATATTTTAAATATTTGTGATAGAAACTCTATGGCAGTTGCCATAGAAACTGATGTTTGGAAATGCGGGGGAGACATTAGCGCTTTTATTATCATTATACCCCCGATTGAAAACCGGAGGGTATATAGTAATCGGGATGTCCGTCCGTCTGTTTTGGTTACCTATCTCTAATCCGCAACTCCTCTTTTACTACTGAATGAAATTTAATGAGACCTTCAGAGAGTCTTTGTTATATATTGCCATTGTGCACCTCCTATTTTACTTTTTGATCGGACACATATTTTGGGTTTTCCAGAGCAAAACATTGACACTGCCATTTTTCTGTAATAATGAAGGGTACCCATCTCTTATCCGCAACACCTCCTATACCACTGAATAAAATTGAATGATACTTTCACAGAATCTTTATTACATAATGCCATTGTGACCTCTTATTTCATTTTTTTGATCTGACACTTATTTCGGGTCTCCAAAAGCATAACAGGGACTTTGTCATTATAATCATATGGGAGGCGGAGGGTATCATTTTAGTGAGCTCGTTGCTCACAGTATCTCTAGTTTTAATTCTTAATACGTGAGATGAGCATAAAACCGCCCTATGTGTTATATAAAACGAAAATTATGTCATTATTACGATTGCTTGATCTTGTATAAACCTTTGTGTGAAAGTTGTACTGGATATTTCGTTTATTAGTTGATGAGTCATTGTTCATCTTTAGATTGTTAGACAGCGTTAAATTTCGGTCAAGTCGTAAGTTTTGTGAAAATCCCGGATCACTTTTTCTTCAACGCATGTATTATTGACACAGGCTTGAGAAAATGCATTTGGTTACAGGTTTTCCAATGGTGTAAGAAATTTAAGTAAAATAAGACGTTGATTAAAGGTGTGAGCGCCTTTTGTCTGTCTGTAAACTCTTTTAAGTGCTCACCCCCTAGACAAATTAAAAGCGTTAATAAACGTTGTCACTTGACGTACTGTTCTTGACATTGCTACTGAAATTGGAACATCATATGGAAAGATGGGGTGTATTTTGAAATATGAGTGAAACTGAAGATAAGTTGGTGCGGGGGGATACCCAGGTTTTACTTGAGAAAAAAAACGGAGAAAAGAGCAGCATTTTGTAGAATTACGTATTGGAATTGGACATTAGGGTTGATGCGCCTGTTATGTGACGTGACATACCTTACTTGACGTTACGTCGATGTCTCCCCCGGGTTTCACAACTATCCATTTTCAGGAAGCTCGTGTGACTTTATTGGTGATTGGAACGTGGTGACATTTTCCATTATTGTTGCATTATGACTTAATATTATAAATATGCCTTTTGTTTGCTTTCATCAAATCACAATAAGATTTTAGAAAGAAATTCCTCGAAGTTTTGGATCAACCCTCGTATATAGCCCTACTCTCAAATTCCTGTAGTCTAATATATCTTTTTATTACGTTCTTTTTCCATATTTTAATCTTGCACTTATGAAAGAAGAATACTTGAGTTTTTGACTAAATAAATATTTAAAAAATTAAATACCATTTGAACGATATTTATTCACTACTATTTTTAACTGGACAATACAACACATGCGGTCTTTTCGAATTGTCTAGGATGTGTTTCATCTGGGAAAAGAGAAAATACGTAAAATTAACTATTCATTAAGGTACTTTAAAAACTATTTAAAATTTCATGCAACAAACGTGGCAAAATGTATTCCAATGTTTTACCTTATTTTCTTTGACCCAACAAACGGCATTGTGTAGTGAGAACTCGAAGAGCTTGGGTCAGCCTTGTGTAATTTTCGTTGGAGGAACACGAGGAGGGTACGGACCTCAGGCAAGTCTGTCCCCTTCTGGAGATTCTGTCAAGCGTGGCAAATAAAACAGAAACTACTTACTGATGGACCTTGTCTTGTATCACCAAACTGCTCAAAAGTTTACTTACAGAAAAAAATAATGGGACTGGATCATTTTTTAAAGAAGATATTTAGTAGTTGCATTGAGTGTCCAATGTTTAGGAAATCTGTGCTGTTATTAGCAATTATTGAGATGCCTACAATGGTGTATCTATTTAGTACAAATGTCCACTTTACCCGCACATCTTGGGCAATGCTGTCAAGTCGCCATTTGTGAGTCGCGTTGTAAGTGGCTGTAATTCCAATACTATTAAAGCGCAGGGATAGAGCTGTAGGGTACAACCTAAAACAAACAGATAAACCTTGTGGCAAATGAATCGGTAACAGACAGTTCTTTCAAAATTTAAACATTCTCCAGCAATATACACAGTGACACAACACTGGGTAAGAGAGGGGGGGTGTGTGTGAAAGGCCAACTTTTCTTTCAGTACCAATTTTTTTTTACCCTAACATACTACATTGCCCTTCACTTAATTGCAATGAACATTTGCTATAGTACACAGTTATGTCTGGGAAAAAAGTGGGGGGGGGGAGGGGGAGGGGGCTGCCCCCGATGCTAAGTGCTTGATATATTATGGGAAAACATGAGATACTATCCAATCATTTTCCCCCCGGAAAATCTTTAATTATACATTTTGTAGTTATTAGATAACGTTTGACTGAGTTGGATGTACACCGACATATACTTTACTTATAAGTTTTTGGGTGAATAATTTACAATACTTTTGGATGGTAAGAGCATTTAGAAAAAACAGAGGTTGAAAGTATAACATTTAATAATCTTTTTTTATTTCTTGAATTGAACAGCCAGCTTGCAAGTAAACAAAAATGTTTAAGTATTTTATAATGGCTAAACGATTTATATAGACATTAATTCTTTAATTAGAGTTATACAGAAAATTGATAATCTTGTTAAATTGGTTGAGAAAATTAAAATATAACAAAAGCTTTTTCAAAAACAGTGGAAAAACTTTCAACATGGGTGTATGTAACTGTCTGAAAGATGCAATTAAAAAAACAATTCAACTGTAATTCTATTGAGGTAAACCCATGGGAAGCCCTTTTACTATTCATTCGTGAAATTAAAAAAAAACTTTTAATAAGAGAGATATCTCTCGAGCTTATAGAGAGATATCTCTTTAGCTTTAATAAAGATATGTTTTTGACTTATAGAGATATCTTTATATCTTCGAGATATATCTCTTTTTGTAAGATATATATCTCTTTTACTTAGAGAGATATCTTTATAAGCTAGAGAGATATCTCTTCAAGCGATAGAGATATCTTTTTTAAGCGAGAAAGATATCTCTTAAAGTAAGAGAGATATGTCTTAAACAATGTCAAAAGAGATATCTTTCTTAGATAGAGATATATCTCTTTAGATTTTCAAAAAGAGATATCTTTCTAAGCTAAAGAGATATTTCTTTTAATGAAATAGATATCTCTTTTCCAGTGATCCTTAAATTAAAATAATTAAGTCTCCCCTTCAAACCGAAAGCGAAACAGGAAGTAAAGTCTCTGGAATATTTTCGCTGTTATACGAAAAAGACTGAGCATGCAATACCAAGAATAATATATGTACTATGTATGGCAAGCCCTTTACTATTTATTCGTGAAAGAAAAATTTTCTTTCAATAAGAGAGATATCTCTCTAGCGTAGAGAGACATCTCTTAAGCTTATCGTGCTATCTCTGTGACTAATAGATATATCTTTATACCTTAGAGAGATATCTCTTTAAACAAAAGAAATATCATTTTTTGTAAGAGAGATATCTCTTTTGCTTTGAGAGATATCTTTATAAGCTAGAGAGATATCTCTTTAAACGAGAGAGATATCTTTTAAAGGTGGAGAGATATCTCTTCAACAAGGTTGAAAGAGATATCTTTCTTAGTTAGAGAGGTACTAGTATCTCTTTAAATTTTCAAAAAGAGATATCTTTCTACGCTAAAGAGATATCTCTTTAAATGAAAGAGATATCTCTTTTCCGGTGATCTCTAAAATAGAATAATCAATTCTCCACTTTAAAACGAAAGATTGTATGTTGTTTAACGTCCCTCTCGAGAATTTTTCACTCATATGGAGACGCCATCACTTGCCCGTGGAGAGCTACAAATTTTGTCCTACTCGGCACTCAGGGCCATTGAGCAATGAGGGATCTTTTTGGTGCATGCACCTACTACGACACGGGGCCTCGGTTTATACGGTCTCATCCAAAGGACCGGTCTTCACTTCCCACATTGGGATTCGAACCCGTGACATAAGGATTTACTCCTTACTTCGCGACTCTAGAGCAGACGCTCTATCCACTGCGCCACGCGGGTGACTCTAAAGAAACAGGAAGTAAAGTCTCTGGAATAGTTTTGCTGAGCATGCAATACCCAGAATAATATATGTACTATGTAGACAAGAATGCTACAAATCCCTTGTTTGAAAAACAAATAATAATGGCAACTTCGTTGATCAAGTGCTAAAAGTTTAATATTCAGGAAAACGAGAGTAAGCATATTCATATAATCTCTAATGCAATGGACCGAATTTTCTCAGCTTTTCTCAGCTTTTGAAATAATCAACTAATACTAATTTGAAATCTAGACAACACTGAATGTCATGTTTAGTAAAGCTTTAATGTAGAATACTGTATCAGGAATATGTCGAAATTTAAAAATACTTTAATGTACTTCCGTGAATGAAAGCTTACTTCCGGTAAGGGAGAAGTCAATTTAAATGGAATTTGAATAAAAATAATGAAAGAGATATCACTTTGGAATAAAGAGATATCTCTTTTTTCTTGAGAGATTTCTCTTTTATATACTTTTGAAGTATATCTCTTTCACTTTAAGAGATATCTCTTAAGATAAACTAAGAGAGAAATATTTTTTTATTTTAAGAGATATCTCTTTAACTGGGAAAGATATCTCCAAACGTTAAAGAGATATCTCTCCAAGTGAAAGAGATATCTCTTTAACGTTCAAAGGTCTCTCTTTTCATAAAAGAGATATTTCTAAAAAAAAAAAAAAAAGAGAGATATCTGTTCAAGTGGAAGAGATATCTCTCTTATCAAAAGAGATATCTCTGTAACTATAAGAAATATCTCTTTCTATAAGAGATATCTCTTAAAAATGAGAGATATCTCTGTAAGTTGGGTGATATCTCTATTTTTAAAGAGATGTCTCTCTAAATTGAGAGATATCTCTCTAATTTTAAATCTAATTTTCCGAATGAATAGCAAAGGGCTTGCCATAACTATGTAGACAGAAATGCTATAAATCCATTGTTTGAAACAATATTCCTTTTACTTTAAGAGATATCTCTTTAACTTGAAAAGATATCTCCAAAAGTAAAAGAGAAACATGTATCTCTCTAGGTGAAAAAGACGTTTAGAGACATCTCTTTTCACGAAAGATGTATCTTTTCAAGTAAGAGATATCTCTCAAGGAGAAAGAGATATAGCTGTTCAAGTGGAAGAGACATCTCTCTTATAAAAAGATATATCTCTCTATAAGAGATATTTCTCTAAGTTTAAGAGATATCTCTTTCTCAAAGAAATATCTCTGAAAAATGAGAGATATCTCTTTAAGTTCGGAGATATCTCTATTTTCAAGAGATGTCTTTCTATAATGAGAGATATCCTCTGTAATTGTAAGATAAAATCTATTTTCCGAATACATAGCAAAAGGGCTTGCCATATAAACTGGTTAAAAGAAATGAAAAATTTTCAGACGTTCCGAAAACTGCGCATGTCAAACATCTCAGCATTTTCACCGGAAGTGGCCTATTACACATTTAATGCCTTAAAAGTGCACAGTCTGAATGCGGAAAAATGTCCCATTTGTCACTACCATTTTTTTCAGTCATCGCCTCTATACAAATACACAGATTTAAAACAAAAATGCTAAAAAGAAAACAAACAACAGAATCTAACAAAAGTATTTCGGGATTGCACACAGGGACAATTAGTATAGATATCATATGCTTTACACCACCGAAGACGATTTTGATTTTATTTTTTGCTTATACTATCAAAGAATGTCAACTTTACGAAAACCCATTGGGCTCATTTTCGAAGGTTAAAAAAAAATAAAATTTTCGCGTTATAACGCGAAACTTTCACGATATAACGTGTAACTTTCGCGAATAAACGTGTAACTTTCGTGTAATAACGCGATACTTTCGCGAATAAACGCGTAACTTTCGCAATATAACGCGAAACTTTTGCGATTTAACGCGAAAGTTATAACGCGAAACTTTCGCGAATAAACGCGTTACTTTCGCGTTATAATGCGAAACTTTCGCGAATAAACTTTTGCGATATCACGCAAAATTTTCGCGCAATAACGCGAATTTATTTGCATAAAGTAATGTTTTCAGTAACCTTGATCTTCACTGACAGATAAGAACATGAACGCTGACATGATCTTTCATGAATTTATTAATAAATTATCATTTCCTCAGAAGATGTCCTGGAGAAAGAATGCGAGAATGGTTCGAATTTTTTTAGATTTCAAAACCCTACCAATTAATAAAATGAATTTACTTTCTTGTATATGTTTTTTAGTTGTTAAATTCAAGAAAATCTTTAGACTGATTATTTTTTTGAAGGAAAGTCTCCACTTGACACTTTCTCAAGCATTTTTTATCAGTAACATTCACTACAATTGTACCGCTAATAAATAATTAAATTAAATTAAAAATTATGCCTTGTAGAAACATAGCTTAAAGAGAGTGAACAGTGTGTCATTTCATGAGTTTAACGTGTCGTATGATGTTTTTAAGTAATAAATATAAATGAATATTGTTAATTAGAAATTGATCGTGGAGGAGGGGTCTACTTTTTCTTAATTTTTCTCCAATATTTATATATCTGAGAGATTATTGAAAAGTTTGTGGACTAGCGCCATAAATGGAAACTATTAAGGATCTAAAGCAAACAAAGTTTTTACACTTTGAATTAATTGTCAATGTTTTCGTGGGCAACGGAATGACAACGTGGCGCAACCTCAAAATACGATGTCGTATTTCTACAGTGAATCTAACGGAAACAAATGAAAATTTCACATCCAATTTTCACCCATGAGGTGGGACACAATTGACAATTTTACCTTATTTTGTTAATTTTCTGAGATCTTAACAATTTTATTTCAAATTCTCTTGAGAGTGTAAAAGAGACGTCTGAAAGGGTTGGATTCAATAGCAAGAAAACTTAAAATGTAGCTTGTGATGGTCCAAGATCAAAATGGTCGTTTGCTTTTCTTTGCAATGAATAAACCAGATCACAAAATAAAAAGGAAGTTAAGACTTATGCAGATGTAAATGTCTTGGTTTAACAGCAAAAGTTTCGAGTTATAAGGCGAACGTTTCGCGTTTATTCGCGAAAGTTTCGCGTTATAACGCAAAAGTTACGCGTTTATTCGCGAAAATTTCGCGTTTATTCGCGAAAGTTTCGCGCTTATTCGCGAAAGTTTCTCGTTATTACGCGAAAGTTTCGCGTTATAACGCCAAAGATTTACATTTTTTTTAACCTACGAAAATGAGCTCATTGGGCTTTCGTACAACTTTGAGTTTTTTTTAATAATTAGTATAAATTTATTTTTGGAAGGAGATTTATTCTATATTGTCTTTCATTTTTATCACCAAAACTAATATAAAATTTTTGTGGAAGTGCTCTTTTTTTAAAAATAGTATTGCATGTTTTTTGATCTCATATTTTTAATGACCATAGTTAAAGGTTTCAGATTTTGAAGGCGAAAATTTTTAAAAATACAAACCATCTGGTGCTGCCGTCACCTTTTCGCTTACAACAGCAACCAACAAGCCAATAAGAAGTCCTTTTGCGAACATTTTCAACACAACTGTATGCCTGCGAAATACTAGTCAACTTGCGCCTTTCTCAATCTCTTTTATAAATCTTTTTTTTTTTTAAATTAAGCCCGGAATTACCATTACCTAACGTTATGTAAATGTTGAATTATTTTTCCTCATTATAATCCCCGTTTAGAAATAATCACACTAATTTTCAAAATGGTCTTCAACAAATGTTAAATGCACTACATTCTTATACTGTATAATGAGATTTAACTGTAATTGTAGGGAAAAAAACAAAAATTGTTGTATTTAGAAATGGTGGAAAATTGAAGCTAATAGAAAAATGGCATTACTGGGGACAAGAGATAGATATTCAATTGTGAATCAATTTTTAAAAATACCTAGGTATGATGATTTATGATCAATCATGCAGTGTTTGTCACCATGCAAAATGTCATTGTGCGCGTTTATTATGAAAACAAAAGTTCCGATAAAATGATAGTTTTGAAGAGTTCATAATACTTGCATTTTGTTCTTGTATTAATATTTGATCATGAATACGTTACTTAACAATGCCAAGCACTGGTTTCAATGACATTAAAATTTGTTAAATACACTGAAAGAACCCTTAGTTATTAAGTCAAGTCTTTAAACACATAGACCATGTGCTAGTTTTGATAAAAAAAAAATATCGTGTTCCAACGTATATTCCGACGAAACTAAATCAATGATCAACGTATTTGATAGCCAACCTATTTTTTTAATGACTGAATCAAAATCCAACGAAGTGAAATTTTTATTTTCTCAATGATCATTTTAAAAATCAATGTAATACTAAAATACGCCTGCCAGAAGAAAATACGCCTGCTGAGAAAATCTATACGCCTGCCGTGTTATTTATGGAATTAATTTGTTTTTTGTTAGATATATTACTTTTACGAACCTTGAATCGAATATCATGTGCTTTTTAAATTATTTTAGTTTGGTGAAACATTAAGTAAATAGTCTATTAAAATAATATATATAAAAATATAACTTTAGTTAAAAAAAATAACACGGCAGGCATATACACGAAGAATTAATTGAGTGATTTGGTAAATAAGTTTTTCATATTCCATTTGAACAGTTGAACGATAAATTAAAATTAAAATATAATCGGTATGACATGGAATTATTCGAAAATCGGAAACACGAATAGAGTCTACCTTCGAGGAACACGCCGACCGAATTATTTTGTCTTTGATTTACCTGTGAATCATATAGGTCACGTGACAGGAAGAGAAGTTGTTCAAAACAAGAAGTCGTAATGGGGCGACTGGATAGTACTTTTGTTTTCATGCTGTCATTATGTTCTATAGTTAATTGCTTTCAAAGAGATCGTAAGTATATGTATATATATTTCTTTAAATAGACAAAGATTCATTTGAACTATTACCTGTTGAGTAATTAGTTTTACCTGTGCAGGTGAGGTTTGAAAAATGGCGTCATATTTTGGTAATCCGGAAATAAATTTTTGATATTCTATTATATTATATATATTATGAACTTAATATTTTCTTTGATCACGAGAATTTACTATTAATGGTTGAGATATAAGATGTACCTAGGTCGACGTACCTGGAAAGTTCCAGTTGTCCACAGATGCTTGTATTAGTTTATATGAAGGGGGGGGGGGCTATTTACCTTTATCAGGGTACTGTGCTGGACCTGGATATTACAGCTAAAGGTGCGAGTTAAAAACTGACATCAATGAATGTTTACCTAAATTATATATTAAGTTTAGGCTTATTATGTAATGATAATCATGCTAATAAATTTTATTATTTTTTTCAAATTAGCATGTACATGGATAGGCCTATTTGTTGAGTAGGCAAATTACATAAGGAATTACATACTTTAATTTACCATTTGAAATTTAGTTTTTGAATATAAACTTCACTTTACTCTTTAAAATTTTATTTTTTATCCTTGATTATTATTACATGTCACTCCTTTTGGGTGCTCTGTTTACATATTACGTTCCATTACTGCAGGGCATAGTTTCATAAAATATCCTGTAGTTTAATGGTGCTTAAATATTCTACTGTTGCTGTAATTTACTGCAATGTAAGAATTTCTTATCAGATTACATCAATCTTGATTAAATTCTTAATTTAATTCAAATTAAAGATTCACACAAAAATTTATTTGTAAAAAATTTAAAGTAATTTAATAATTATCTGGCCCTCTTACTGAGAAGATATTGCTAAAAAGTGTCATCCCAGAAAATGTTCCTTCATTTGTCAGAACTTCAATTAAAAAGACAACATATAACAACTAACCAAACCTGTTTTTGTAGCGACACCGTACAGAGATTCTGACTGCCCCGAGGGTACGCCTGTAGGACTCGGTGTAAACAATGGCCGACGAGTTCCGGACAGTGCCTTCACTGCCTCGTCATCTCACACCAACAGGGATCCCGCCAAGGGCAGGCTAGACGAACAAGCAGGTACCAATTATCTGTAAACCAGATAATGAAAAAAATCAGATTAAAAAAATAACGAATTAAAGATTGATTGATTTGTAATTTTATGTTCTGGGTTGTGTCCATTTCCCGATTCTTTGATATACTGAAATAAATCATTTCTGGACAGTTTTTATACGTATAATATTCTCAGAGATCCTGTCAGGTAACTTAAGTAATCATAACTCTAACAGGTGCTTGGACTGCGAAGGTGCAGGATGCCAGTCAGTGGCTGGCAGTGGATTTAGGACGTGAATACGTAATCACGAAACTTCAGACGCAAGGTCGACAAGGGTCAGGGGAATATGTCAGTGAATATATGTTTGCTTTCTCCAATGATGCAATTACGTGGCGATATTATACCAATGAATTTGGAATCAGAGAGGTATGTGTAACAAAGTAATTTTAAAATGTTGAAATCTTAAAAAAATTTCTTTAAATATCGAAAGATATTATTCGTGTAAACTGTCAAATAGTTTAATTCAGTGATTCACTGTTCATTCAGATATCCATAAATAAGGAGTGATTTTTCAAACAAGATCACAAGATCTTGTAATATCTGAAGAAGGCATAGTACCAACTTAATGTTTTTTGCAGTCATGACTATTATATTTTTAAAATCATTAACATGTACATTTTCTTTGTTAGATGTTTGTTGGAAATACTAACTCTCAGGACACCGTTACACGGGTTCTTAAATACCCTATCATGGGTAGATACGTCAGATTCCATCCACAGCGCTGGGTAGAAATTATTTCTCTTCGTGTCGAAATCTATGGCTGTCCGTACAGTAAGTAAATATGTCAGGTTATTTTTTGAATTGAACAATTAAGGTAAAACTCCCCGATCTGATATTTATAGTAGAGGAAAATTGCACTAAATTTGTGCATAAATTCATTTTTACATTATTTGTGGATATTAATTGAAGCCTCTTCCGCGGAATCTCAATTTCTGAATCCGCATGTAGAAAATTACGGATTTCTTAATTACTATATGCCTTACATTTATATTAAGTACGCTTGGACAAATTTCCGCGGAAAAGTTGTGACCGCGTACATACACGCGGAAAAAAGTACTTCTATTAATTGAAGCCTCTCTTGAGAGTTAAGGAACAATTATATTTCCTTTTCTAGCCCCGGAAGTGGCCCGTTTCAGTGGTAACGGTTATATCCATTATGATCTGTCGACCTTAAATCCCCCACCCAGCACCACATCGGACCAGATAAAACTGCGATTTAAAACCAGCAACCAAAATGGAGTCCTGCTGTATGCTGATGGCAACCAGGGAGACTTCATTGCTTTACAGCTTCATAGAGGAAATCTGCTTTTCAGCATTGATCTCGGTATATTAAACATTTTCTATGTCTATAAGCATGATAAGTCATGCTAATATACAGCATCGTCCATCTCAATATACATATATATGTCTATGTAATGTCATGTTTCATATTGATTATAAATTGTGGAAAATTTGTCTTTAATTTATAATTCTTAAAATTATTTGTCATTTTCTGTGTTTCACAGTACTTATTTTTCTACATTGGTTGATTATGGTTAAGCTATATAGAAATCTGGATTACACAGAATTTTCATGTCTTAATTTAGGATCCACCCAGCTGCAGCGTGGACTGACTCAGCAGACAGGGGGCAGTTTATTGGACGACAGTCAGTGGCATGACATCATCATCCGACGTAACCACACAAAGATCACCCTGGTCGTAGATCGACTGGAGACACACTTTGAGACTAATGGCCTCTTCTACAGACTTAACTTGGATAAAAAGGTCAGAGACAACTTCTGTATAAGGACATTAATAAATGTCTGAACATGAAAATATCTAACATTAAATATTTTATTTGTGTTAGGTAATTTTGGAAAGCAAACACTTTATCTTTTTATAAAATTAAAGGTTTATGTTCAATATCTCTAGGATATTTAATAATTCTCTTGTAGATATATTTGGGAGGATTGCTGACTTTTAACATGAATGGCATTACTGTGAAATATAACTTTGACGGATGTTTGGATAATGTTGTGTTTAATGGGATCCGTATGATCCGGGACACTAAGAACGGATTTAAGGGCTTCTCCATGGTAGGGGCAATGCCTGACCCCTGGAACTGTAAGGTAAATAAAGCTCTACCTGAATCCAGGTATCAAACAATCACTGAATCAGATGTATTTATATAGAATCAGAAATCAAATAACTTTCCCCTTGATGAGAATTTGAAAAGTAATGTATCCAGAACTGCAGAATTTTCGAACCTAATTTGTATATTTTAATGTTCCACCATTTCAAATATGTTCTCATAATTTTGTGTTGGAATATGAAGAATATAATATGGACATTATTGTACCAATAAATTTAAATTAGGAGTTTGACCTTTTCATAAATGTAATATAGACAGATTTTACTGCTCTCATGATTGCTGCAATTGTTTGATTGACCATTTAAGTGTCTGAAATGGTAGGAAAATATTTTAATGTCAGTTACAGCACTCCTGTATTCAATCATGTCAATTATTAACATTAAATAAATGATTTTTTCTCAGACATGTTGCATCTATCATTTATGATTAAATTTTAGCTCCCTGGAGCTGTTAAAAGGCACACAAAGCTAATGCTGTAGGGTGGTGTTGCACATAAACATTTCCAAATGTGGTCCACATTTCAGGCCCCCCATTGCCAATTCTTATCAGTTTCAATCAAGAACTTTCAGTAATAGGTAGGGCTGTTTCAATATATCGCACACAAAGCTAATAACTTCCAATATGTGTGGTGTTTTTCAATTCTGTTAAAAAGATAATTTCACATTATATTTCACTTTTTTGGAATAATTATATAATTTGTAAGGAAATAATACAGTTTTTATAATTATTACAAAATACAAGGAGAATTTTATTTGAACATGTTGATTTCACTTTCATTAAAAGTTTTAATTTGAAGTGTTATTTGTAATGACAATGAGACAAGAACTTTAAAATGGGTAATAAATCACTTAATTGTTATGAAATTCAAGCATTAAAATGATTTAGAAGCCTTTTCTGATGGACTTGTTTTAGACTCCAATATATCGCATATCGCTTTAAAAAATATTGTATTGTATTGTATCGAAATTTTTGGCTCAATACACAGCCCTAGTAATAGGGACGTTGTAGATAAATAAGTAACTTTTGTAAATTAAGCAATTCATATATACCAGCTAGGTACCTGTTCTCTATTAAGTCAAGTTATCTGTTGCTCTGTAATATTCCTTATGAAGGGATGACTTTCAAAACATAAAACATGGAGTAATAGAGTTTTATGAGAAGTACTGACTTTGATAGTTGACTGTTTACTTGGACATTTAAACCTCTATCATGTATGGATGTACAGAATTGATAATATATAAGAAAATCTTTCTAGTGGTCATAATAATTGAAGTTAGGGGCACTGACATGTCTTTCTTATGGATAAACTTGGTAGGATTTCACGCAAAGATTGCCCATGACCCAAGGGTGTGTCATGACCTTGTCTTTTTCTTCAAGGACAACTTATATGTGTTTTGAAATATCCCATTATTTTCTTTTAATTAAATGCTGAGCTGAATATTTATATCATTAAAGAGCTTCCATACACTGTTCTAGTGTAAAAGTAATTCGTCAACTGTAAAAGTCAGCGCTTCTCATAAAAGTCCAATAGTAAGCTTTTTTAAAAACTCTAAAAGCCTCTTAATTGACCAGATTTTTAACATTGAAGATTTAAAAGTTCACCTTATATAAATTACAATAACTCTGGTAAGAAACACCTGTTTCTTTGGTAGATGATAGCTCCAATGCCGGCGACCTTCTTCTCTCTGGATTCCTATATCCTTACCACGAGTGATGCAGGAGGTAATGCCTTCAGAGTCCGCTTTGACTTCCGAACCCATGATGAGGATGGAATTCTCTTGTATCATGAATTCCAAACAGGCGGATTTTTTAGGGTAAGACAGTAAAAAAGAACTTTTAAAAATATTTTCTTCCAGTAGGTATTTGTTCATTTTGGATTTAGTCACAATGTAGGCACTAAAAACATTAAATATATCCTTGAATTATTTGAAATAACATTTGTATGTATTTGTAGGCTTCTCTAGATAAAGATGGATATGTCAACTACGAGCTCCAAGATGCAAATGGTCAAAAAATAGAGGACAAAGTTAGGAACAGTAAGTATTAGTGGACAGGTTTAAGTTTCACTTGTTTGTGACATTCATCATCCAGAAGAATTTGCAAAATTTCATCATGATAATTAATTTGGAATTATTTGTAGGAAGATGTTAAAGTTGAATTATTTAGTGATACTCGTACTTGTTAAAAAGCTTGGAGATTTTTATAACTGTAACCTAGCTTACATCAATGTTTATTTCCTTTAACAGCTGCCCTGGAGTACACCAGTAGTTTTTCCGATGGTTTGTGGCACGCCTTCTCAGTGGTGGCAAACCAAGAGATGTTGAATGTCACTGTTGACCTTAACTCAAAAGTGTCCAGTAGAAAACTGACCCTGGCATCCGGCACTGACTACTACATAGGTAAGTCATTACTGACCTTAGTGTCTTATCAACTGCAATAAAATCAAAGCCAATCACTCTTCTACTCTGACAAAATTTTTTGCTGTACTGCTAATCATTTTCCAAAAGAAATCTACAGTTAATTCTCGATAAACCGCCACCTTTTGTAATTTATATTATAACGAATTTGGCGATGTTTTGAATTTCCCTATTTTAGGAAACAAGAAGTAAGTTACCGTTCTTCTTTGAAATACCATATAAATAAAGCGTTTTGTCTTTAATTACATGTACATGTATATAAAACATATTTCTAAATTTTAAAATACTTAAAGTAATTTTTTATGTACAATTTCTTTAAAACAAAATGTGCAGTTATGAAATAAAAACATGTACATGTGCATTTATGTACATGTAAATCGGCACGTCTGATATTAAAAAAAAAATGCTGGGTCGATCGTCGTGATATATTGCAAATAATAAAATGGTTTTCACACCAAATGGCATCATTGTTCGTGAAACGTTCACAATTTATACCGTTTAATTATTTTTAAGCAAACTTTGCATTGTTTAAATTAAGCAGAGATCATCAAAATAATATCGTATTCGGCGTACTTTCACAACTACCGCTTTCATGGCGAAGCCGTGACTAAATGATTTTTTAAACAAAACAACAGAACAAAATCATTGTAACAGTTCATATTAAAATTATTTGTTCATTTAATTCTAATTTAATTATTTAATTGCGTACACCTTGTCTGGCTTTGCATGCTTTACAACAGGGATAGTCACTTAGCCGCGCTTCAAAAGTGACCGCACGCACCTGTGGCGGTATATCGAGATAATTGACACTTAAAAATGGACGTTTGTTACTGAAAACAGGGTGGCGGATCAATTGCAATAAAATGAAAGCGTTATCATTTTATATAGCAGGAAAAACGTTTTGGGAAATCATGGCATTTTCCGAAAAATGGCGAAATATAACTGTTCAAAATTTAAGTGCATACATTTACAGTTTACCTTGTGCGAAAGAATTAAAAGAAATAGCTTTTAAACTTTTACAATTTTTTTAAACTTAAGAAATATTAAATAGTAGTTTATCCCAGATAGAGTTATCTCTCTTATCTGAGGGTCAGTGAACCTTAGAAGTGTTTTGTGCACTGAATCACAAGGGAATCTTAAGTGAGGTGGTCTTACTCTGAGATTGATTGAGATCTTTTTCTTTAAATCATTGTAGGTGGCTATACGATTGGAATAAGCTTCCGTGGCTGCATCAGAAACATTGTCCGAGACTACAAACCCCTAGATCTAAAGGGAACAGACTTCACCAGTAAAGACATTCAAGTGGGAACTTGTGGATTAATCGACAGGTGTGTTAGTGATAAATCTAGACCCTAAAGAGGGCATGGTAATTCAAGATTCAAAAGGGCACTTTATGTAAACAGAATGTCTTCAGGAGCACACATACTCTTTAAGATGTCTTTAAAATTTTAAACATTTTACTTGCTCATTTTCATATACTTCCAGAATTATACTGAAATTTTTATTTAAAGGTAAATGTATTCATACATTTGTGTTTAATTCATCTTTAAAAGCAGACTCCTTTTGCTTGTTTAGGTGTACCCCTAATCCATGTGAGAATGGGGGAGTGTGTGACCAGGATTGGAATACGTTTACCTGTGATTGTGGGACGTCTGGTTATGAAGGAGCTGTGTGTCATCGATGTAAGTCAAAATAATTACTGAACAAATACAAGAGAAAAAACTGGATTCATTTTATTATTTTTACTATTGCCTTTTTACTATCAAAAATTAAGACGTTTTAGGACATGAAAAGATCAAACAATAATGCTTTAGAAGTTAAATATGATGTACTAATATCTATTTATAGCCTCATATTACCTGTCCTGTGATATGCACAAAATGTACACATCTGATGAGAATGAGGAGAAGACCTACCTAGACCCTGATGGATCCGGGCCTCTTAAACCATTCCAGGTGCTCTGCTCAGGAAAAGGTATTATTTCAGTTTAACTTAAGTTTTCTGGATACAGAGTCTTACTTTAGAACTCACAACAAAATTGATATAATAATTATATGCTATACAGTTAACGTACCCAAAAAATAGTAATTGACAAAGAGTTTTTTATTTTAGTTGAGCTTGGAAAAGAAGTGGTGACCAAAATCGGCCACAACAGTGAGGATCTGATCACGGTAAATGGTTACCAGGCACCAAACTTTTACGTCAGACAAATCGAGTACGACGCTGATCTTCCAGAATTAACAGCTTTAATCGAGCGAGCCGCCACGTGTACGCAGGGTCTCTCTTACAAATGCCGAAATTCTCGTCTTCTGATCAGCCCAGGAAGTAAGTGGGCTCTTTGTTCATTTCTGAATAATGTTTCAGTAAATATGATCTTAAAAAATATTTTAATACATGTCTATTTAGTCTTTTTTTTTCAAATCTAATCTTTAATTCTGTTTAGAAAATAAACATATAAATAATAAAAAAAGAAACAAAATGAAAAAAGAAACAAAATGAAAAATTTATGAAATACAGTGATATTTTTAGTTTGTACATTATGTGATATAGATAGTTTGTACATTGTGCCTTGAACACTTTGACTTTAGGTGAAGCACCAGAGTATCCACATTGGGGTTGGTGGGTTGGCAGGACGTATCAGCCCATGTACTACTGGGGAGGGGCAGCCCCGGGGTCAGGGAAATGTGAGTGTGGCCTGACAGAGGTGGGCTGTGCGGGAGGACAGAAGCTGTGTAACTGTGACTCTCAGCTGAACGAGACGGATGAAGGACAGATCCAACACAAGGATTACCTCCCCATTCTGGAGCTCCACTTTGGAGACACAGGGACAGCTGTAGATAATAAGATTGGGTATCATAAAGTGGACAAACTGGAATGTCGAGGCGACAGTAAGTAACAGGCTGTCTAAATCAAATTAGTATCAGTTAACCCTAGCACCCAGGTTTTTGAACTATTCTGTCGAATATCTCGAAGAATGTACATGTATCTGTGTTGAATTCAAAAAGTCAACTGTATGCCTTTTAAAGCTGTTGAGTCTAGTGATCTCTTAATTTTCACCATTAATGGCATAAATGTATTTGTAAGGAATGTATGTTTTGCTGTTAAATCTTTAAATACTGTAGACGTACTTTTTTCCACGGGGTCATAATTCTGCGGAATCTCAATTTCTGTTTAATTCGCGAGTAGAAAATTACGCGGATTTCCTAGACTGTCACTATATGCCTTACATTTATATTAAGTACGCTTGGACAAATTTCCATGGAAAATTTGTGACCGCGTACATAGCGTAAATTAATACCATGCAGAAAAAAGTACTTCTACAGTACAGTCAATTCTCGAATTATCGCCATTCGATTCATCGCCATTTTCGCCATACCGCCATGATTTCCCAAGAACGTTTTTCCTGCTATATAAAATTCTCTTTATAACGCCAAATTCGCATACCGCCATCCGCCACCCTGTTTTCAAAACAAACGTCCATTTTTAAGGGTCAATTATCTCGATATACCTCCACAGGTGCATGTGGTCAGTGGAGCGCAGCTAATTGGTTGACGCTATCTCTGTTGTAAACCATGCAAAGCCAGTTGAGGTACAATCAATTAAATAATTAAATAAGAATTAAATAAACAATAAGTTTAACATGAACTGTTATAGTAATTTTGTTTTCTGTTTAAAAAAAATCATTTAGACATGGCTTCGCCACGAAAGCGGTCATTGTTAAATACGCCAATAACGATATTATTTTGATGAATTCTGCTTTAAACCTTGCAAAGTCTGCTTAAAAAAATTACACGGTATAAATGGTGAACGTTTCATTAACAATGATACCATAAACAATGAATTTATTCAAGAATTCATTTTACGTACTATCGGCAATATATCACGAAGATATATGTAGATTTACATGCAACATGTACTTGACTTTATTTCATAACTATACATTTTGTTTTAAAATTGTACATAAAATTACTTGAAGTATTTTCAAGTTTAGAATATGTTTTTATATATATTTGTACATGTAATAATAAGAATAGAAACGCTAAATGTATTTCTAAGAACGGCAACTCTACTTCTTGTTTCCTAAAAGATGGGAAATTCAATTCATCGCCAAATTCGTTATACCGCCATGATTTCTAAATTACAGAAGGTGGTGGTTTATCGAGAATTAACTGTATATGCAATGAACTTTAATGAAATTAAATGAATGTAAATGGTTGCTTTTTATAGATTTGCTAGACAACGTCATTACATTCAGAAAGGCCGATGCTTCCATACATCTGTCTACTTTTGAGGCCGAACCCTCTGGTGATATCTGGTTCCAGTTTAAAACTACAGCATTTGATGGCATAATGGTGCACCAGTCTGGAAAGCCTGATTTCATCAAAATAGCTATTGCAAGTGAGTATTTTGTTATGCTTGCATTGACCATTGAAGAATTGCAACAATCCTGTTTAGCTCACCTAAGCAGAATAAATTCAGAGTACTTGTTTTAATTGGAGGAATGTTTTTTTCTTACAATGTAAAAAGAAAATATTAAATTCATTTGTCAGATGGCAACACTGTCCAGTTCAGCTATGATGTTGGAAATGGTGCCCAAGTCATTGAGTACCGCTCCACGAATGCTCTCAACGACGACCAGTGGCACACGGTCCATGTAGAGAAGAACAGAAAGGAGGCGTGGCTGCGTGTGGATAACTTTCCCGCTCAGACATCACAGGAGGGGATAGGAGAGAAGACGAGGACACTGGATCTGACAGGCTACCTCTTTATTGGTAAAGACCTCTGGCAGTTATAAAAGATAAAATATGTTAACATTGGGTTCCCTTTTTTATACTTTTTACTTTTAATTTTTTTGAGAGGTTGACCTGTTTTCATGAATAAATTTTACACATAAATATACACAGAGATACATTGTATTTAAAAAAAATCACTTTCTGAAATTGTGTCATAATTGAAAAAAAATGTTAAAACTTAGTTTGCTTGATCTTGATACCAAATTTTGTTTTTAGTCCTATCAGGTATTAAATTAACAAGCATTTTGACTTGACTTTCCAGGTGCCAGTGTTGAGGACAGGAACGGTTATGTGGGGTGCATGAGGGGCCTGAGGATCAACGGTGTCCTCCAGGACCTGAGGGGACTTGTACACAGAGAGGAGGTCACCTACGGGGTGTCTGAGGGCTGTGTCGGAAAGTGTGCCAACCAGATGTGCTTCAATGGGGGCACCTGTATCGAGGGGTACTCAGGGTACACATGTGACTGTGCTTACACTCCATTCAGAGGCTGGAACTGTGGGCGAGGTAAAGATGGACTGAAAATTGAGATATATCTGTAAAATTTAATTGTAAGGAATGACAAGGGACCCCAGGATTTAGTTCCTCAAGTCTACATAAGACACTTCAAGTCATTATACAGTCAAACCTGTTTTAAGAGGCCACTCGTGGGAGAATGACAAATTGGCCACATAAGACAGGTGGCCACTTATTCCAGGTTTCAAACCCATGAATAAAAAATTTCGACCATGTTTGTAAATAATTTTATTTTCACATGTATCCAAATCCAATTTCAACACATTCAAAAACTTGGGAAATTTTAAGTCAAATGAAATCCCTTTTCTTACATTTCATTTTACATGAATTTCTGAAGGAAATCTGTTATTCTATTAAATCTGTGTGTGTTTTGGTACACTAATTTAATTTTACAGACATAGAATTAACATCACAGGAAATCATGAAATGTTCTAACTAAGCATTTCCCTGATGCTGTGTTAAGTTTTTCTAGATATATATTTATTTATATAACATAAAAGGTAAAAACGTGAGACTGACCGCTTGACTTGATAACCTCAGGCGAAATTGTAATTAATGAAGCCTATTGAGTTTACTAGTATATCATGAAAATATTCCACAGCTTACTTTTGTATATTAAGAACACCAATAACATCTTTTAACAATAAATCATTTAATCATATTAATTAAATCATTAAATCCTGACAGAATTCAAATTACACCTACAATTATTGGTCATTAACTCATTATCAGCTGTTCATGTTTGGCTTCGTATGATACGAGGTCACGTGTCAGACGGAAGTCATGTGATAAAACAGACAAAATGGCCGCTGAAAACAGGCATGTTGAGCGAACGGGACCTAAAAACACTGTGAAATTTGGCCGCGTGACTCACTAAAAAGTTAAAATATAGTGAAAAAATGCCATCGAAACTGGCCGCTCAAGGGGAGTGGCCGCTGATTAAGGGTGGCCGTAACAGCAGGTGTGACTGTATATGTATATTGATTTTTTTCATGTTCTCTGTTTGTAACTGTATACATTTTGTAATTCAAACAATTCATACACTCCTATTGTTAAAAAAAGAACATTTTTTACATGTAAGTACTTTGCGTGTACAATTTGTTTAGGGAAAAAAAATTATTTTGATTGTAATGATTAAAATTTATGTAATTTTTCAGAGGTTGGTGTGAATATGCTGAAGGAGTATATGATTCAGTATGAGTTCAGTAACCAGCAGGGGCTATCAGCCACAGACTTCATGCACGTAAGAGTAGGCTTCACCACCAAAAAGAAGCAGGGCATCTTACTGCAGCTCCAGGATGCAAAAAATGAAGAGTATATCTCCCTTGAGGTCAACAATGCAGGTACGTATATAATAGTGACCAAGGGAGACAGACTGGGGACTAGGCATACTCGAAACTCAGTGTGAAATTTGGAGTGACTCACTAAAAATTTTGCTTTTTTTTGCCCTTAAAATCTTGGGATATTTTTAGCTCACCTCGACGAAATCGAGATGAGCTTATGCTATACCCCCGGTGTTGGCGTGGGTGTCGGCGTCCCAGGTTAAAGTTTTAGGAGCAAGTCCATTCCCAAGTAACTATAAGCCCTATCTAAACCAAACTTGCATGGATGATGCATCTAGGGGTGTACACTACCAGACTTGCTTCGATGCTGGAACAGACCTACATTTACTAGAAGAGTGACCAGGTTAAAGTTTTTGGAGCTATTCCCAGAACTTTAAACCCAAACCAAACTTGCATGGATGATACATCTAGGAATGGACATTACCAGACTTGCTTCAGATGCTGGATCTGACCTACATTTTTAATCCCAAGTAACTATAAGCCCTACCTGAACCAAACTTGCATGGATGATGCATCTGTGGATTGACACTAAGAGACTTGCTTTGGATACTGAATCTGACCTATATTTTCCATACAAGAGACCATTTTAAAGTTTTGAGAACAGATTAATCCCAATGAACTTGAAGTCCTTGATAACTGCAGTATTAACAAATTTATTAATATTTGTTTACACTATACACGTTTTCATGCTATATGAGTAGAAATGTGTATATGCCATGTAAGGGGTTAAACACAACTTGCAAGAATATTGTTGTTGGGATAAATACTAGATATTAAGAAAGTATGATGTAAGATTTGCATAACTTACACTTATAACATTCGTCAAGGTGAGCTTCGTAATCTTTGATTACCTATGTTTTTTAAACAAATAGTTCAATATTTATATTTTAGGTGGTATAAAATTTGCCCTGGATGTTGGATCAGAGAGATTTGAGGTGAATACCCCTAACCATGGTATCGACTACACCAATGGACAACAGCATGAAGTCAGAATGTGGAGAACAGGGGAAAATGGAAATCTAGTCCACATACAGGTAAGATTGATTAATATAAATCTAGTCCACATACAGGTAAGATTGATCAATATAAATCTAGTCCACATACAGGTAAGATTGATTAATATAAGTCTAGTCCACATACAGGTAAGATTCATTAATACAAATACATGTAGCTGGTCCAGTTTTAGGGAAGATCTTATCTACATCTTAATTTTAAGTCAAGTTGACAAAAAAGATATGGTAAAGCAGAGCTTTTTAAAATAAGTTTTAATTTTCACTAAGAAATATACTCAAAATAGAAACAAGGTTGATGTATATATGGCAGTATTTTGTATCATACAAAGGTTTTACAAGATCAAACAGAGAAGGTGATATTCCTCTGGCCATTGAGTGTTGAGCACTGTAAAAACACTTGTAACTGAGTCTTGAGAATCCTGTTTAATTTTTTTTAGGTTGACAACTATCCTGAGGAAGCACTGTCTTATGGCACCAAATTCAGTGACAATATTCTAGATGACCCCAAGTACCTCTTTGTTGGGAACAACAGTAAGTTCATCTCAGTTTTCATCTTCTTCATATCGCAGTGACTCATTGATGTCTTACTGAATTCATGATACTCAAAAAAGAAAATAACAGCAATTTAGTTTATGTCATCCCATTCATGTACTGCTAACGAAATGATATAATGTGTATGATTAGAAATCTTAAGTATTTTCTTAAATTGTTTGCTTCATACATTCATTACAAATACATTGCCACATATTTTATTGTAATTTAAATTTTTCAAGGCTTTATCTTTAACATTGAAATATCAAATGCGTGTAACTTTAATTTCAGGTACACAGTCGACCACCCGTGGGTTTGAAGGCTGTATATTCAGAATGGAAATTGACAATGTCTACCCACTAAAAAGAGCCTTCCAAGATCCGAAGCCTGACTTTGTTACACTTTATCCCGAAGGTAAAAGATTATCTTTTTGTCAAGTGTCTTCAATCAAATGTGCATAGATATACACATGCATGTATTAAACAATAGATTAAGAACCCATGGAGTAATGGTAATGTTATTAAATTTTTCTGTGAGTTTATCTGAGACTATTTGATTGACAGGTAAACTGCGGGAGGATATGTGTGGTTATGAGGAAACCACGGTCCTTCCAGACCCCATCGAGTCCCGTCCAATAAACCAAGGGGATCTAGTGGACATCACCTACCCCACTCCTCCCGATCCAGTGATAGAAAAGAAAATCATTGGAGGTAAGAATCCTGACGAATAAGTCGATGTGACAGGGTAGCTCATGTTATAGAAGTAAATTCTGATGAATAAATGAGTATGACAGGATAACTTATGTTATATGAGTGTATTCCTATTAAAAGACTTCAATGGAACATGCATTCTGTACCTGTATGTTTTTTCATCACCCACATATATTTTTTAAAATTTTAATCCTAATTTTCAGGTGTGGTTGGGGCCATTTGCTTCCTTATTTTGATAGTCATTGTTGGACTGTTATTCTATTGCCGAGACAAGGGTGATTATGAAACCAAAGAAGCAAAGGGTGCGGACATTGCTGAGAATGCCGATGTTGCTGTCGTATTTAATCAAACGGGAGTACCAGACATTACTAAACGCCAGGAATTCTTCATGTGATATTTACATATCCAATTAATGATGAAATATTGTCTATTTACTGTGTTAGTAATCTCAACTCACAATCTCAACGGCTTTCACCGGGATTTATTCTCGGTCAAAAGGAAAGGTATGCGTGTGGGGAAAAAATTCCTCTGTAAAGTAAGAATTTATTAAAAAGAAATGTGTAAACTTGCATTTTAAAATATTGATTCCCCATATGCAGGGGAGTTGAGATAAAGTTGCTACAAAAATGTGATATTATACAGATTAATGTATATGTAAAGAATCAATGTGTATATTTTTGTATATTAGGCTATTTACCTTGAACAATTTGAATGCATTCCATGTACAATGTATATATATAAGTCTAATTTTCATGCAATATATGTGTTTGTGGCGACTTGTGGTATGAATTTTTTGATTGAAGAAGAGAGCTAGACTGTGTGAATGGAACCCATAATTTTATTATATTCCAAGAGCTTTGAGGAGATAGTTTTATAGTTATACATCATATCCTAATTCTGCAAATTGCATGCATGTGCACATGTATATTAGGCCTCTCCATACAACAAAACATATCACATTTCATCAAGTTACAATATATTGAAACCTAATTATCAGTATGGTTGTGATTTGAATTCATATCATTGAAGATAACAACTTCTAGTTCTATATTAAGATTTTTAGGTTTTACTTTTAAGGTCTTTTTGTATATTTTACATGATTTACAGGTAACATATGTATATACAAGTGCCATTATTCCATTATTTCTATCGTACTATATCATTCCTCATTTTACACATGAATTTTTACAGCAATAAACATGATTTTATAAATCTGTCTGGTTTTATTTCTCGTTAACTCACCTTGATGAATGCTTACAGCCTTGACATTGGTTACATTGTCTCAGTTTAACTTGTCAGTTTCTGAAGCAGCTTAGTTATTCTGTATACAGTCAGAAAGGCCTATAGCAAACACTCGTATAATGACACTTACAGTGAGGTGATTTTCATTCTTCATGGCTTTAAAATCTATTTTAAACTTAAAATATAACAAATTTGGTTCATAACGAAGCAAAATTGTCAGTTCCTGGAACTTCGCTATATGAGCATGTTTTTCTGTGTTATTATGATTTCCCTATAAAGGGTTATTCCTTGTCTTTACATGATCCATATATTCAAATGCATGATCCCACTCTCACCTGCTCAGCATGTATTTTTTAACCAACCCTATCAAGGAATCAACAGCTTTATGATGAAATCAAGGTTTTTTTTTCTCATTTGTAGTTTATCATAAACAGGGACATTTGAAATTTTTAAAAAATATTCACAGATGATTGCTAAACAAAGCTGTAACAATCATTTGAGCAGATGAAATCATGTAATTTCAATTAGTTTGAGCTTTTGCATTTATAAGATGGCAGTTGCATGTTATGTCTTTAAGGTAGTCTGATCCTCAGGTTTATAAAATTAGCAGTGAAGTAATCAAAAATACTCATAAAAGTATTTCTGAATCCACAAAGTTATGTCAGTTTATCCACAGTATTTCTTTAAAGTCAAAGATTGAAGTTAAGTCATATTATATAGCGAAAATTGTCAAATCTTCAATATTTTTGCAGAAGAGGTGAATTGGAATATCAGCAATGCATTTTCTAATTGCAAATTGATCAGCAAATATATTTTAGGTTAAAAAACAAAATTCAATATATTTTATATTATATGGTATTTTTTGCATTTCCGTATATAACATTGTTAAAAGCTTTTTCTATCATAATAAGACACCATAAATCACTTCTTATTTCATATCATGCTAATAAGCATTGGTATCTAAGGCTGGATTCAAGAAAATCTCATTTCTCTAAAACTTTATGATTTTTTAGCTCACCTGAGCCGAAGGCTCAAGTGAGCTTTTCTGATCACATTTTGTCCGTCGTCCGTCCGTCCGTCCGTCTGTCTGTAAACTTTTCACATTTTCGACTTCTTCTCAAGAACCACTGGGCCAATTTGAGGTAGTTGGAAAGCATCCTTGGGTGAAGGGGAATTTATCAAAATTATCCCCTTGCAATATCCTAGGGTTGGGTCATTAAAAAATCTTCTTCTCAAGAACCACTGGGCCAGAAAAGCTGAAACTTATGTGGAAGCATCCTGGTATAATGTAGATTCTAAATTGTTAAAATAATGACCCCCGGGGGATAATCAAAATTTTTTATATATAAATATATAGGAAAAATCTTTGAAAATCTTCTTTTGGGCCCTTTATGTCATCTGGTGTAGTGTAGATTGTTCAAATCATGACCCCCAGGGGAAATTTAATCATAGAAATATATAGGAAAAATCTTAAAATCTTCTTCTCAAGAACCACTGGGCCAGAAAAGCTGAAACTTATGTAGAAGCATCCTGGTATAATGTAGATTCTAAATTGTTTAAATAATCTTTCTCGGGGGAAGGGCGGGGCCACAATGGGGATCAAAGTTTTATATAGAAATATATAGGAAAAATCTTTGAAAATCTTTAACCTTGGCCATAACTTATGTTGAAGCATTCTGTTAGTGCTCATGACCCCCGAGGGAAGGCTTTTTTACATAGAAATATATAGGAAAAATCTTTGAAAATCTTCTTCTCGGAACCCCTGGGCCAAAAAAGCTGAAACATATGTGCCCATGGAAGGATCATGGGGGAGTGTAGATTTCAAAATGTCTAAATTATGATCAGTGGGGTAGGGTGGGGATGCATTATGTATAACAAGGGGGAAATCTGGTAAAGAACAGAATGGTCAAAGCTTCTCAGGTGAGCGATGTGGCCCATGGGCCTCTTGTTTTTCCTTTTATAGAGTACAAACGTCAACTTTTATCAGACCTTTTGTAAAACTTCCAAAGATCTTAAATCTTATAAAGATGAATACAATGAAAGTTGTTGCATGAACTTCATTTTGATGCATTTCAAATTAAATATTATTTTTTGGAGTTATCCTTCCTGGCTGAGGATCGGATATCCTTAATCATCATTTCAAAATGCTACTGCCCGTACAGTCTTGGGCCAAATATTAATCAGTTGGAGCATTATAAACTATAATTCTGTTATAATACAGTGTTAAGTTTAGTCAAAATATATGGAAGCACCCTCAGCAAGAGTAGATTCAAGTACCAGTATAAACAAATTACCGTATAAGCAGAAATTTTAGCAAGGATTTTATTTTGGCATTATTAGTGAGTGTTGAGATCGCTACAATTGAATGTAGCTAAAAATTACTTGCATTTTGTTTGTTATAGCTTCTTTTGAGCATTTTAAAACCACTAAAATTACTTACATTGATTTATGCTAAAAATAAAATACCAATTTTTAAGGACAGATCGGTAAATATGTGTCTCGCTAAAATTTCCATGTATATATATATTTCCACGTGTTTCTCAGCAAAAACTTAAACCTTGCTCATAACTTTTGAGTGGGTGGGGCTATGGCTTTCATATCTCACCAGCGTATTCCTTGTGGCATGAACTTTCTTTGGGTATCAAAATTTTTGTTTACCGGTACAAAAACATATCAAGCTTTAACCTTGGCCATAACTTTTGAACTGTTAGTGCTAAGGCTTTCGTTCCTCACGTGTATTCATTGTGACAAGACCTTACAGTGGGTGTAAATATTTCTGACCTTGACCTTAGAGTTTGACCCACTTTTGAAAAACTTTAACCATAGCCATAACTTTCAAATAGTTAGAAATAGTGCTTTCATACTTCAACCATATATTCCTTGTGACAGGACCTTCTTTTCGGTACCAACAGTTGCGACCTTTTGACCTTGACCTTTGGAGTTTAACTTGAATTAAAGAAACTTTAACCCTCACCATAAGCTGCTATATGGGGATTACAGTGTTTCACAAACACATCTTGTTCCTAGTTAAGATGCTTGGATGGTCCATGGGCCTCTAGTTTGAATTTCTAGCCAATCAAAACATGCAATAATTAAATAAACATGCAAGATAAAAATCAGTAAGACTAAAATGCTCTTTATTTCTAGGAACTCATAGTATTTATCATTATAAAGAAAAGTATATCTTATAAAATTGTACAATATACATATATATTGATTTAAAGGATTTTGATTAATTAACATTATAAAGATAGTATATCTTTCTTGTAAGTTGACATATATATTGATTTAATTATTAACACTATAGACTGTAAATCTTCCTTGTAAGTTGAGATGTATTATAATATAGAAATAAAACAATATAATTACATATTTACAAATTATCTGGATTTCATTTGTATATAAGGGAATTACTCACAACACTTGTTTCTTAAAAAAAAAAAATCTACCCTCATAACATGATTATTACACTTTCGTAGTAATGTTTTATTTCAGAAACAGGTGTGTATGGAATTACTTCATTTGTAAATAGAATAAGACAGCACTACTACTAACAAGACTATTTCTATCCTGTGTTAAAAATATCTACTAAACTTTCTGTCTGACAGAGTTAAAAACAGATAACAGTAAATGGACCCTGACAGGTAGATCGAATGACCAAAAAATCAAATTTTACTGGAATTCAAAGTGTTTATAAATCGACTACAACTGTATAATATGTAATTGAGTTCTTGCAATAATTTACTTTTTACATAGATGTGACTCTAAAATGACAATGCACAAAAACCTCTTTCAGAAAACTTCACACATATTGATACTATGTGTAAACAGGGAAAGGGGGAGGGGGGAGAGAGATAGAAGGTCAATCAGGAAAACTCAGATCCAAACCGTCAAAATCACATCTGCATGAAAAAAAAAAAATGGCTGCCAAACTTGGTCCAATTGCACTAATATAACCAAAAGTAATGGAATGTAGCAACATTGTAAAAATATAATGTGTATGGAATGGGGCTCTTAAAATACTTCAAAACATGATGTAAATCATTAAAAAATGTTTGAATAAAGCAGTGAAAACCTCTATTATGGATATGAAAATTTGGAGGTCCTGAACATACACGTTGTTGTAAATATGATAATTAATTTTGCTGTAAATACATGTGTAGTCTGACTTATGACAGAAACATGTACACCGAATTTCATGGCATTTAATTTATAAATAAATCAAATGTAATACCTGAAAAAAATCCCCATCTAATAAATACAATGTAGTTTAGAATGTTCAACTGCTAATTTTGAGCTTAAAGAATTTTCAAAGAGTGTATTGTTTTTAAAGGAAATTTCGTTATAATTTAAACTTTATATTTCATCAATATTTTTTAAAAGGAAAACTACAAGGTATTCACTGAATCTATCAAATTTCATGAAAACATTACAGAGCATGTGAAATTGAAATAAATGTTTAAGACCTTCAGTCTGTTGAATAATTAGGATTTCGAGACATCAGTAGTAGTACAGAAACTCATTTCTGATAAAATTCAGATGACTTACTTGGACAATTTTTGAAATAAACTAGAACTGTCCAAACGGGACAAAATACCCCCCGCTGGGTTTTTTCAGAAGCAAGTTTTTCCATAATAAAGATATGTATCACACATGAATTATGAAATTTTTCTTCCAGTGACCTTGAAATTCCCCAAATGACCTTGGGTCAAGGTCATGACATACCCTTGGGTCATGGGCAATCTTTGTGTGAAATGAGAACCTACCAAGTTTATCCATAAAAAGATATGGACCTGAAAGAATTGTGAACTTTTTCTTCCAGTGACCTTGAACTTCCCCAAATGACCTTGGGTCAAGGTCATGACACACTCTTGGGTCATGGGCAATCTTTGCGTGAAATGAGAACCTACCAAGATTATACATAAGAAAGATGTGGACTGGACACGAATTATGAAATTTTTCTTCCAGTGACCTTGAAATTCCCAAAATGACCTTGGGTCAAGTTCATGACACACCCTTGGGTCATGGGCAATCTTTGTGTGAAATGAGAACCTACCAAGCTTATCCATAAAAAAGATATGGACCGGACAGAATTATGAACTTTTTCTTCCTTTGACCTTGAACTTCCCCAAATGACCTTGGGTCAAGGTCATGACACACCCTTGGGTCATGGGCAATCTTTGAGTGAAATGAGAACCTACCAAGTTTATCCATAAAAAAGATATGGACCGGACACGAATTATGAACTTTTTCTTCCAGTGACCTTGAACTTCCCCAAATGACCTTGGGTCAAGGTCATGACACACCCTTGGGTCATGGGTAATCTTTGTGTGAAATGAGAACCTACCAAGTTTATCCATAAGAAAGATATGGACCGGACACGAATTATGAACTTTTTCTTCCAGTGACCTTGAACTTCCCCAAATGACCTTGGGTCAAGGTGATGACACACCCTTAGGTCATGGGCAATCTTTGTATGGAGTAGTAGATTCTAATGTCCCTCCATAAGAAAGATATGGACCGGACACGTTTGCACAGACAGACGGACAGACGGACAAGGTGATTCCTATATACCCCCCCAAACTTCGTTTGCGCGGGGTATAAAAAAATCCTACAACTACATCTTGTTACAAGTAAAAAAGAACATAAAAAAATTATAAGTAAACCTTTCTGTCCTTTGATAAACTATATTAATAAAATCATTTGATTGAAAAAATTATCACAATAGCATAAAAAAAAACAAACAAAATGGAATGTTTCCTTTCTTTTTAGATGTTAAATATTGAAACAAAAATAAGTTGCACAACCTACAGGCAATTTCAAGATGTGTCATGATTTGTACATATTGGGAGATTTTCTAATATCTGGGACAAATAAACTATGAAAAACTTAAAAGGTATATACATAATTCTTGTAGCATTATAACACATAATAAAATATACAGTAGTTAACATTTCTAACAACTAAAACTGAGTAAATTATATTCTGGATGACACAGGTATAAATCAAAAAAATAATTATCAGCATTCAACAGCCCGTAGCAAATTCTATAATTCAAATATATTACAACACAAATGGAAATATCATTGACAATATGAGGTAATAATGCATAATCCTGATACACAAAAAAAGAACATGAACATATCAGCTAACGACTGGGAGCAAGAAAACTTGGATTTCAAAAAAATAAACTCAAGGTAAGTCTCATTAATGCACTAACAAATATCATTTACATAACAGAATTTTCTTGTGAATAAACATTATAATTCTCTCCCTTCTATTTTACAGTATTACTTCGTCCAACCCAATTCAGGAAGTTAATAACATAAAGAAATATCATACAATCCGCAAATACATAAATAAACTTTACATCAATGAATTATCTACCCTGAAACAACCACCTTAAATAATCAGAAGAGGTATTCTCCCTTCTCCTGTTGAACTTTTACGATGCAATTTCCGTCCAAATGTTTCTCCAAATTCTTGGCTGTTACAAACCCCTCCCCACAATAAGTGCACTCGTTTCTGGACTTCAGCATGTGGATCTGGGATTTCATGTGGCGGTTTAGATCGGACTGGGTCACACCTTTGTAGTTACACACTTTGCAGCAAAACTCTCGGATACCTACAAAAATTTGAAACTCAATATCAAAAAATAAAAAACATTCTCTAATATACGAGGGGTTATCAAAAAGTTCGTGGACTGAGGCTATAAAATTAGTACTATGTAGTCTATACTTTCAAAATTTTTAAGGGACATAAAGCAACAAAAAATAAAGAAATGTTGAATATTTGAGCTTGATTCGTTCATTTTTTGCTAAAATATGATAAAATAAAAAAGACATTATATGGTTACCCGTCGCCGTTTAGTTTCATGACGTCCCACAACATCAATGTTTTTCAATGTCCGCTTTTTCTACCTCATACACTTAATTTGATGAGATTCCCTGGAGTTGAGTAAGGACTTAAACCAGTCTTGTTTTTATGACTTTACAATGTCAGGAACAGCGGCTTTAAATGCATATAATATTGCAAATGGATTGATACATTGGGAGAGATCCTTGCTCGATTGTGCCAGCATATTTTGCTTTTGGGAGTTTAATATCTACAACATATGACCAACGTCATTTTTTGACGTGAATGATTTTTCACACCTTGACTAAGAATCGACATTAACTGTGCATCCCTTTTCTCTCTGAACCTCTTTTGCATTAAAAAACAAGTACTCTGGATGCATTTTATTTCTCCATAGCCAGTTTAAACATTTCCTAGGTCTATACGACTTTTTTTTAGGGCCAATAATTTATAGAATGTTGGAAAATGAAACCCCTCCCCCCTTTTGACGTCATTTTCAAGGACTTATTTGTTTAGACACTCCATGTCAAATTTACGATAAATTTTCTTAGAACTTTCAGAATGAATTGAAAACTTCCTATTTTATGAAGCAATAGTGTCCCAACATATACCTGAATTAATCAGATTTTTGGATGTCAAATATTCATATCAAAAGTTTTTCTTAGTTATGCTTCGGTCGAAAAAAAGCCGTATTCGAGGTTGCGCCGCCTGGACATACCATAGCTTACAAAAACATTACTAATTTATTTAAAAATAAAATTAATGATCTGCGGTTTATTCTATAGATAGAAAAGATGATGCTAACCAGATATTTAAAAATTCATTGATGTACCTAAAGCGGTTTTAATTTTATGGCGCCAGTCCACGAACTTTTTGATAACCCCTCGTATATACATGTATTGCTGTTTTTTAAAATTTCAAATTGAAGAACAGACAAATTTGCCAAGATAATAAATACACTTAAACTTAATATCTAATCTGGACATGTGGTTTCAAAGAAATCGACAAAATTAGACAAAATTCCAGATAAAAAGCAAAATTTCAAACTGAATTAACTGAAAGAGACATAAATACAACATTAAATTTAAATAGCACAACCTCTGGATTAGAAAAGTTTTACCGTTTTTAATACTGAACCTGTTTTTCAAAAGACCTAAACCTCCCTATACTTTAACACACACTAAATGTATCATATAAAGCTGTGTACCTTTGGTAATACTTAAAGCAGTTTCTGCTAAATCAAGTACATGTATACAGTGTATTCCTAATGTTTTTTATGTTTAAATTTATATCCAGTACATTCAGAAACGTACTAATCCAAATCAAAGCTAATTTGATGAGAAAACAATGTCTGCAAAATATTGTACAAACTAGATTAAATACATTTAGAGTATATGTGCAGTACATGGTGACAAACCTTGATGTCTCATCATATGAACTTTTAACTGGCTGTTTGTCCTGGCATAATATTCACAGTATTTACACTTGTAGGGTCGTATATCTGTAATCAATAAATAAGACATCTTTAATATAATCTCTCATCTGTGCAATACGCCTGTAATATTGTACTTATATTTTATCAATTTAGCTAGGTATTCAGATCTCCATTTTCTTACTATTAATTAACAGGGTTATACATTGTACAAACACTATCTTTTCCTTTATTTCTTTATTTCATACCTTCATGAAAATCCATGTGCCTGTTGATATCCGAGTATGAAGAGAAGTTCTTGCTACAGAACGGACAACTAAACACCTGTCTTCCATCATCCAGCATTGTTGGTTTACATATCTGGTCTCGGTTGACAGGGGAATTCACAATAGGAAGTCTGAATCAAATCCAAAATTCAAACATACATTACTTTAATACTTTAGCCATAATAGAATCAAGGTGATATCTACTCAAGTAATCAGAGACTTTTTGAATGTGGATGATAAAGTTTTAAACATAAATTATTATTGTAGTCAAATGCTAGGAAACATCAAATCAAACATTTGTTCGAACATGTATTTTGCAAGTCAGCTTTCTCTTATTACTTTTCATTTGACATATTTTAAGTAAAAGATTGAAAACCTACCTTGAGTGAGTTCTGGAGAGGGAGGTGACTTTCCTGCCATCAGTGGTCATGTGGTGCCAGCTGAAGGGTGAGTTGGGGTCCCCAGGAGACCACTGGACCTTTGGCATCCCCACCAGTCCGTCCCTATAATCCTCCGCTGGCTCTCCCTGAGTAGAGGTGTTTGGGGACAGGTCATCAGGAAACCGGATTGAACCATCACTCACATTTCCTGCTGAAGAAGTTGAGGGACTGTTGCTATTTTTAGCATCAAGGGTGGAAGTGGTTGCCAGGTCAAGAGGAGCACCTGGAGATGAGCAGTTCGCCTCAGCTGAATCAGAAGATTCTAGTTTGGGGTCATCAATCACTTCTGTTTTGATGCCTGCCGTATTCACATTGTTGTTCAGTTTTGATTGTTGAAGAGCAGCAGCAGCGGCAGCAGCTTGGAATGCATACATTTGGGAAAATGGAAATGATGGGTGCATGAATGCGGCAGTGGATGCCAGACCAGGAGGCATGAACTGGGAGGAGGCTGAGGTCATGGTTTTAGCAAGAGTGGCTGGAATGTGGCTACTACTGGCCAGGGCCTGAGCTAGGGTGGGCATCTGGCCTGAGGCTAACATTGCTTGAGCAGCAGGATTGGTCAAAGCCTGGGATAGTGATGTAGGGTTGGTTATGTGGCCTGTTGCAGCAATGGCCTGGAGCATCTGTCCTGTTGTCAGCAGGGAATGTGGAAATTGAGCATTAGGCATCAAGTGAGGAGGCCAAAACCCAGATGCAGGAAGAGCAGTTGGCAGCTTATAATCGACATCAGACGATGTTGGTGACTTTGCTGGAGAGGATGATCTAGAATTGGAATCCGGTGAAGAGGGATTTATTTGGTCTACAGATTCCTTGTCTTCCTCAACTTTTATGTTATCTAGAAGTTTTACTTCTTCTGGATCTTTTTCCATATCCTCTGTCTGGTCAGCATCAGATTCTAACTTTACTCCATTTAACTGATTCAGTCGGACTGGTTGTGATGCCTTTCTCTTTGATTTACCAGGTACTTTAGCCAACAGTGACATTTTAGGGGCTGTTTGTATTTCAGGAGTGCTAACAAAATCAGATTTTTCCTCTTCTTCCACTTGCCAATCCTTCAATTCAGATTTCTTTTCTTTGACCTTTTCCTCGTCTTCTGGATCACATGGTAATACGACTGTCACTTCATCTCCGATTCCCGCCTTCTCCAACATTTCTTTTGCTTTCTGTTCTTCCACATCTTGACCTTCTCTATCAATGACTACTTCAGCCTGACTTTCATCTTTTCCACATCTGGACGTCTTTTTCAGAAGATGAGATAGCAGTGTGTTTCTAGACTTCTCTGCTTTAACCTCATGATGACTTTCACCACCTCCTCCATGCTCCCGTTCAAAATGTTCCTTCAGAAACTCATAATCAGAAAACCCATTTCCACAATCTCGACAGTAACAAAAATCATCACTACTGTGCATTTTGATATGTTTAAGAAGAGAGGATTCCATGCTGAAAGATTTCTTGCAGATCATGCAAGCATATGATGCATTATCGTTTCTTTTGAATCTCAACACACTAAAATGTTCTGCTAATGAAGTTGCTGGAGATAGATCAGTGCCGTTTGTGGAGGAATGAGCCGTGGTTGAGGTAGATAAATCTTTACTGATTAATCCGGAATGACATTTATGCAGGTGTCTGTGCATCTGATACTGGAATGGAAACGAGGCAGAACAGTGTTTACAATGATATGTTTTAATTTCCCTCTCAAAATGGAAAGAGAGATGGAACTGTACTTTGCTGAGGTAATTGAACAGTTTTCCGCAGAGATGACATTTATAGGCACAGACTTTCTGGCCAGAGGTGGACAGAGTTCCATCGAGTCGAGTGACCAGCACGGTCTCGCTATCCACCTTCATATCACATGACCCTGAGCTGAATACTTGATGAATTTCTTTCCCTACTGGATTCCCTCCAGGTTTTACTAAGTGAGGGACATTCAGTGATAGTCCAGGAGTAAATATTTTAGGATTGACAGATTCAAATTCTGTATCCTTCTGCTTGATATGTCCTGCTGATTTGTCAAGCTGATCCCCATGGTCTTTGATGGTTCTATTACCATCATTGTAGAAATTCGGAGTCTCTCCATTTCCAGGCATTTGTAGAGGTTTGTAAAGTGGCATATATGCCACTGGGTGATTTGTAGAAGTTGTGGGGAAAACAGATGAGTCTGGGGTTGGGGTTCTTTCTGGGGACTGCCGTGGTGAAGCTGTGGTCTGATTATTTTGGTATTGACCAGCACCATTAGATTTTCCTTTGTATGTTGGTACCTTAGACTGCTTTTTCAGCTTCAGATATCTCTCTTCTAGTCCAGGACTTAACTCAACCATATAGCCATGGGCTGACTTCAGGTGGTACATCATGCTGTTCTTAGCTCTAAATGGCTTACCACACACCTAAACATAAAATCAACTGCATGATTAATGAGACAATGCATTGGTCAGCGTAAATAAAATTAAAACCTGTTCTTAACTTGCCTCAACAGCAGACATTTACTTGAAATCATGATTCTGAAATAACTGAAAAACTGATTTCAAATGAGCATTTGTTAAGGTTTGTGATTACGAAATATGTGAGTAATTTTATATACATTTTGTTTTTGCATTTACCCAATGTAACTCACCTCACATTTAAATGGCCTTTCACCTGTGTGTGACATCATGTGTCTCTTTAAATCACTGGGTTTCATGCACACCTTTTTACAAATCTCACAGATCCGTTTTTTACTGTTCTCCACCACCACCCCATTAACAATGAACGGCAGACTGTTATCCAGACGATCGGTCAACACGTCCATGCCGTTCTCAAACCGCCGCCGCTTCTTGTCCACCTCCTGAATAACTGACTCGTCTACTAACTCCCCGGCTTCAAACTTTCTCTTGCGTATGTCAGGGTATCTGGCAGCTACACTTTTATGTTCTATTCCATGCACTATAAACTGGTGATAAAGCAGTGTCCTTTTAGCATTGAAAGCTCTGCAGCACACCTGAAAACAGCAAGAATATTTTTTTTTCTGTAAGAGTTATTTCCCTTTAAAGAATGCCTCTTATCATTTCAATCATGAAAACTACAGTAAGGGTTCTATAGTTCTATATAAAACTTGTTAAATTGACCAAACATGTTAAAGGAATGAAACATGGAAGATAATGATTTAATATATACATATGTACATGAAAACTTTAAGAGTTTTACTCCTCATTAAAAAATAATTTGCTATATTCTGTTTTTTTTTCAGATTTTGTGCTCATTCCACTTTAAATAACATTTAAACATCCTACAGTAGATTTCAACCTCAAAGTGAGATCCCTGTGTGTCCCCTTAAATGTGTCTTTAATTCCGTTACATCTGTCTTCATTACTCCACAAAATTCACATTTAAACATCCCATTTTCAACCTCAAAGTGAGATCCCTCTCGGAAAGGGTCGTCATATACATCACTTTCTACAATCATTATTCTGCTGGAATTGGGTGGCTCATTAAGGCTGTCTTCCCCCTCAGTATTGGGTGACTTAAGGCTGTCTTCCCCCTCAGTAATGGGTAACTTAAGTTCATCTTCCCCCTCAGTATTGGATGACTTATTAAGGATCATGTCTTCCCCCTCAGTAATGCTGTCATCCTCCTCACTACCTGCATCGTAGCTGGCCCCATCTGAAATGTCCTCCTCCATCTCTTCTTCTTTAGCAACATTACCATTCTGTACTGGAGAATTTTCAGATTTCATTTCTACTGCAGTTGTCACTTCATTGTCCATTGGTTCAGTGTGATTTTTGGATTTCTGGTGCTTTTTATGTTCCTTTTCACTGCTTACATTTCTATTATCAGGATCATTCACTGAAGCATTCTCATTGGTCCCTCCATTTCCCAAGTCCTCCACCGTGTTTCCATTTTTCTTGGAGTCTCTTTTCTTTGAGGAAGCCTTGCTTTTGGAAGTTGAAGTTTCTGGTTTCTTTAGGACTTGTCTTCTCCTTTTGCCTTTCTCAATGAAGTTTCCGTTGTCATCTGCTACAGCTGTTTTGGACAGTTTTCTTCCTCTTGTGTTGTTAGGTGGATTAGCATTGTCTACAATCATAGGAAAAAAAATATTTAATTATACCCTCACTTCTCTAACTACACTATAGCTGTAAAATTTGTTGTATTACAAAGCTTACTTCTAACTTTAACCAGTGATAAACATCTGAGAAATAAAATTGCTCTTCAATAAATACCTTTATGCATGCATAGTTTAAAAGCTCGCGTGCAAAGGCTTAACCAGCATGTTACAGTATAAACATTTCTAGTATTTAAACTGTTACATGGAGCTGTTAAGGCCTGATTTGGAGACTCCAATGTCTCCCTGATATCTATTATATCATAAACCTTTGATAAAATGACATAATATATTAATCCCTAGAAGCTTATATAATCTTGCCTACATGTGCGCTAGGCTCCATAGTCACACCTAAAAACAATGGTTTCAACTTTCTTACAATTGAGATTTAAGGTGTCACCTCATTATATCACAATGTCCACACAAAACTCCTTACCCACACTTGCCACCTATAAATATCACTGAATATTGTTTGCAAGTAAAGAGAAGTGGATCAATGCATTTAGGTAAAGTATTGGCCATTCTCAGGTAGATGTATATAGTTTTTTTAGCTGTAGGTTACAGTTCTATAGACGCTCATATTGGGGGGAATTAATTGGGTCCAGTCATGCATGTCTAAGAGCAGCCATGTAGAACACCTGTAGGGGCTATCCAGCATGCATAAACACATTGACTGAATATACATACGGGTCTATTGACAGGTATGAAAACATGTGATTTAGCTCGGCATTTCAACAAATACCTGTAATTATACAGCATTCATGCTCTGAGTGAACAAAGGGGAGACTAATTAGACATTCTTTTCCTAACATTCTCTATAACTGTCAATGAAAATCATATATCAGGATCAAATTAAAGAAATTAAAAAAAAAAAAAAAGATTTTACTAAAACTTCAAATCTTACAATTTTTGGTGAAATGAGGATTTTGTTATTTCACATTTTATTTATTATTTTCATAATTTTTTCAAGTTTGTCTATTATTGTATTAAATTTACAACAAAAATATATCTTTTTAAACTTGTTTTCCATGGATATTTAAAAATTCTGAACTTATGCCCCCCTTTCCAATTGTCTTACATAAAAAAAATTGGAAAGTTTCTGAAATCCCCTCTTCAGAACCCCAATGTATGACCTACCCAAAGGATTACGCTATTTCCCTTTAACTGAGAATTACATAACTGTCCACTTGAATTTCTACACAATGGAGATTATACAATGTCCACTGAAGTGTCCAGCAGGTATGTGTTGACACAGGTAACTTTACCTGTGTAATATGAGAAACACCCTACAACCCTAGATGATAACAAAGAGATAATAAACTAACAAGCATTTCAACACAAATGCATTCCTTTTTTAAATTTTCTGAGGTCATTAACTATACCCCAAGAGATGTTAACCACATATTTTTTGGAACACTTCATCAATACTTTGTGTGTGTGTGTTTTTTTTTTTAATATATATCTACAGAACAGGGTTTTCACACCTTTTTTTTAGTGACATCCCATTGTCTAATAAAACAAATGTAGATAAAGTATCTATGCTAAGATTTTAAAATGACTTGTCTTAACCCCCCTCCCCCCCTTCTCTCCCTCCCAACACATATAATAAACACAAAAAGGAAGACTTCACCAAATAATGCTTTTCCATTCATTTGCTAATCAGATGTTTTTTATTTAATATACAGGGGAAACTAAGTCAGTTGAAAATCTCTTTCAGGTATAATACATTCTAAATTTAATGAAAATTATTATAGAAATTAGTACAGTACAAGGAAATACAGAAATGAAGTGGGGTATCACCATATGTAATGACAATGCAAAGTTATAGTAGAGACACAATGAAACCATTCACACAAATTTTACTGTAATTTAAGCTTTTTAGCATTTCAAAGTATTTGTAATGTAAAAATATAAGACTCTTCCTCTCCCTCTTTCCCTCCAAAAATGAAAAAAAAATAGTAGCCATGACAATAAATGTACAAAATTCAGTTTTTGGGTAAAGTTAAGTGTTATTTAAAAAGGATTAATGATTACCAAAATGGAAAACCTGAAATCCCATTACATGATGTACATTCTTAAATCAATTTTCTACTAAATAAATTTTCTGTTTTCATTTTATACTATTTCACAAATAAGCTAAAAAGAGTAAAAAATACTAAATAATTCATGATATTAATATCAATCAATATTACTTCATGATAAGCTGTGTCAACATTATCAATATCTTTGTAAATATCTTAGCAAAGTGTTTGTAACTTAATATTGGTAAACCTCTACACACCAAATTACGTGACACATGTATATGCATGGTAAATGAATCTGAAGCAATTGATGCATATGACTAGGTATCAGGTTATACTGCGAGCTGAGCTGAATGTATGTACATAATATACGGTTTAAAAATGTGCATTGATTTTGACCTGTCATGCATGGTGAAACTTAGTGGTGGGCATTCCTGCATGCAAAACAAACACGATAATGAATCGCTGTAAAAATCTTCAGCATACCCGAAGGTCACCACTGGGTAATGCATTTTTGGCAAAGTATTTATTCTTAATCATGCATGACCTGCCATTGAAATTAGCTTGCTCCGGGGTATGTGCATGCTAGGTTGTGATTATACATGCGGCAGTCGAACAAAGATGCGTGCCTCCAACTCCTACCAAGAATGGACAAGTCTGAATGTACAAATGCTGGAGTAAATTAAAATAAAGAATTTAACATATTTGAAAAAAATTCTTTAACAATCTATTAGTGTTAATTATGCCTGTATAAAACCTATAACCCCTTCCATACGTATAAAACAACTTTTAAATGGATTCTGAAATGTTGATAATAATTATCAACTGTAAAATCATGCTTACTTAAATAATTCTTTCTTACAACTGAACCACCTTAAACTGAAGATGGAAAAAAGTATTTTACATAAACGTGTTGATTCAATTCTATGTGACAAATTGCAAATTTTCCCTCTTGATTCTTTGAGAGTTTTCCTTCTAAACATTTAGAACTTATAATAATATTTTTGTCTTAAAAAAAAATTGCAGTAAAATTATTTACCTTCTTGAAAGAAATTCTCAATAGAAATTAGGAAACCAACAGTATTAATGCATAAAATATAATAGAAATAAGTTTTGATCATAAATTTTTTTCATCACATATTTGGTGTAATCATGCCTAAATTTTGGACAACACATTGACAAGATATAAAAATGTGTAAGGGTACACACAAGATAACACAAAGGCATTTACAGTAACAGCTTCATGATATAGAGAGAGGGTCGACTTAGCGCGAGCTCCCATACATGACATCCGATCAATCACATACTGTATGATCATAATTATATAAACCAGCCTATTACTGTTAACTGTCTCCAAACCCCCGGCATTACTTAAAGATATGTACCACAAATGTGTTACCGATCAGGTACATGTATCTAATTAGATATTCCGAAAAACTACAGTTTTCCCCCTTTACCCCCAGGATCATGATGAATTTAAAACTTTAAAAAACTGTATATTTGGGGTTACGGTTGATCTTTAAAATATAAATTTAAATGACTACATTCATAGATATTCAAATCTATGAGTTAACATCATAAATATTTTATATAGAATTCTTCAATAATGTCAAATTTAGGAAAATATAGATATCTGAATCTCAAATTATTTTGAGTCTGAGTACAAATTTTTGAGAAATGACTTTTTTCTGAGTATAGATTTACTTTATTCCTATTTATTTTCATAAATGTATAGATTTATCTGTGTTCAAGTTGTAAATCCTGAGATCATTGTTACAAATTAAAAGAAAAAAAAAAGAAAAAAAGTCTTTCCATTGAGGAAAAAGTCAAACCAAGAGTAGACCAATACCCCCTCAGGCAACATTAGCAGAATAAAGTGAAAGTACACTACTAATCCCATTGTGAAGCTATCGTTATCAATTTAGACAATCAAATCGACAAATGCACGTCCATTTAAGGAACGTGACTGACTCTATCGCAAACACTACACAGGTAAATATGACCTGACCCAGTTTGGTTGTCAACATGTGATCATATGTAATAGAATTAAGAAATTTTCATGCACGAGATATGTTTACAAATCAGAAAATTCGTCTGCTAAAGGTATTACCTATATAAAAATATATATATAAACAAATAGAAAACGAATTAAAACATCATGTGTCAGTCAATTTTGGAACGTTTGTAGAAAATTTCTGCTGCTGTAATATCGAAATTCCTGCAACAATCCAAGTAAATTGAAAAATCGACTGCACAAAAAATCGATTCAATGGCATACGCGCACGCGTAAAGTAAATACGAATCGTTCACTTTAATTCACTTTCTTACCACTCAAATGGCTTGGTTTTTGCTGTTTCCTCTTCGAAATCTTCGGCATTTTCTTGGCTTCATTGGGAAGCAGGTCCGCGGCCTGTCGAAATCAAAAGTTTACGCACGAACGGCTCTTCCACCTTTACGTCTCTTCGCTTCAGTCTTCTAATCTAATGCATGCTGGGACTGACCTCTGGCACGTGTATGAAACCGGAACTTGCACGACCGTCAGTGTAAGTTTTGACAGGTAGACGATTTTCAGATATATTCACACGTGGATCTGGAAACATTCAGAAAACTGTCTTGCCCGATGATTAGCTGAAAAAATATACAATGGATAAAGAGAATACAGATGCGGTTATAGGGCACGTATTTAAATTATTATACCATTAATGATTAAAATCAAAACATCCTGTTTCTTGCATCATGCAATTCGAATTTCCTCGACCACTATACATGGATTTATTTTTCAATTCAGGCTAGCCCTGTAAAGCAGTTGTAAAATAAATCAAACGAACATTTTTTTTCTACAGTCCCGATGGACAGCCTATGTCAAAGAAGGCATTGAAGAAGCTTCAGAAAGATGCAGAGAAGGCAGCCAAAAAAGCAGAATATAAGGCTGCTAACAAGACTGTTCAGCAGGTAAAGGGGTGGTATAGACACATAGTACGATAGTGAAAGAGGAGATGTTATAAATAAAATAAAAAGTAATGGAAAGGAAAAAAAATTATGGATAATGGGGTAGACTTTACTTTACCGGTCCCCATATCCGCAAGATCCTCGTTCTCCTTTGACTATGACGTGACAACTACGTCACTCAACTGAAATGGGTTAAATTTGCACACTATTTGACTGATTAGGGTTAGTCTTGCACCCACCTGAGAGATTAGGGTTAGTCCTTGCACTAGTATTCGACTGATTAGGGTTAGTCTCGCATCCATCCAAGAGATTAGGGTTAGTCCTAGCACATTATTCGACTGATTAGGGTTAGTTTAGCATCTGCCCGGGAGATTTCATCTGAACGTCTTAGTCCTTGCATACCATCCGACGGATTAGGGTTAGTGACTCGTTCTTTTAGATAAGTAAAGAAATTCAGTTGTCTCTGTATTTTTTCTAAGATCATAATTCAGATTCAAAGGCATTTTGTTCGTTTGTTTACATGGAAGAATGGCTAAGTCCAAAAGAAATGACACTAAGCATGCGCCGCACGCGCTTCGTTCAGAATTATTCTTTGTCGATTTTATCCATGAATTAGCTGCAGATCTGTAGCTCTCCAAAAAAAATTATTGATAGACCGGAGAGCTACAGTGCCACCCATTAAAAAAACTGTATATTTATTGCGCACAAAAAAGTGCGCTCGATTCTTGATTAATTCTTCCAAATTCTTACCTCAATTGCAAAAAATGGAAGATTTCCAAAAATTCCTCTATCCTCTATCAAGTTCTCTCGTAGTTGACATCTGAACGAAGCATATTATCTTTGAAACCAAAATGGCAGTATAAATAAGAGAAATGTTCGATGATTGCAATATCAGGGCCAGGAGGACTATTAACAACAATTATGAGGAATGTTTTGTTGTGGAAAGAGTCAAAGAATATGTTAGGAACACACGGTTAGTAATATTTTGAGATTACAGTTTTAAAAACATGGAGAAATAAATCGAGAACCGAGCACATTTTTTTGTGCGCAATAAATATACAGTTTTTTCAATGGGTGGCTCTGTAGCTCTCCGGTCTATCAATTTTTTTCGGAGAGCTACAGATCTGCAGCTATCCATGAATAAACAATATTTATTAAATTTTTCAGAGAACGAGGTTAAAAACTTTGTTTGAAAACGAAGTTTTAAACTAAACTTTTAACCGTAGAATTCAATTTTGGGGTCAAAAGGCCAAAAAGCCTCGTATTTAAATTTTTTTTCGATCGCTCACGCGATCTCACATATACTGAAGTCGCCTTCGGCGACACTACATTTTAGCGCGTTTTTCTGGGGACCGGTAAAGTAAAGTCTCCTTTGATGTTATAATTTTATGATTATATATATCTTTAAATTGTTCTACTCTTACTTCGAAACCTGTCTCCTTACCTCCGAGCAAACTATTATGGAATAAAATCTTTATCATCAATTTTTTTGTAATAATCTTATTAGAGATTAATGTCAAAAAGTAATAAATTGTGAAAACTTTTATATATTGTACATTCTGACTGCAATTTAATGTTTATGTTAGTGGAAGAGAACTTTTAAGGGCAGAATTAAGTGTTGGATGGAATGAATGCAGTTCTTGACAAAGTTGTTTACTTTTCTAAGATTTATTGAACCTTTCAATGCATATTATGAAGAGGTGAAAGCTTCTTTGCATTAGGATATCTTCAACAAAATATTGCATAAATGTTTCATCATCCATAGAAATTACACCAGTCCTGTATAAAGCATACCCTCCATATTGGAGCATTTCTTATCGAATTACTTCAGAAAAATGGTTGTTATTTGCTTATGAAAACTTATTAGATAAACATATTTCAATTAAAAGTTAATTGAATCTTTTGCATTCCTATAGGATTTTCTGTGTGTATTTGACAGGATGTTGTGGAGACAGTGGACGTGTCTAAGGGGCTGTATGGAAACCTTCCCATGATCCAGTCAGTGAAGAAGCTGGACCCGGGTACAGAGTATCTGGACGTGAAGGATCTAACCCCCGCCCAGGCCGATAGGAAAGTCTGGGTCAGGGCGCGGCTACAGACCAGCAGAGCTAAAGGTTTGTTTATAACTGTGTATTTTAATAATTAGAGCAAAATGTAAAAAAAAAACTTTTGTCTGTTAGAAAGAAACCTGTCTGGGTCACCTGGTAATCTATTTTCCTGTAATCTACCTTAGTTTTGTCCCTTACCACCTTTTAAACATATTTTGATATTTTAACTCAAAATTTATCCATTTCTGTTTATCCTTGTCATTGCCAAAACTCATATATAAAATTAATAAAAAAACCTAGTTCATTACCATTTGATATATAATATGTATCATCTTAGACAATTTTTTTATTACCATTGTGACTCACCTGACTTTGACATTGGATATTGGAGTCAATTAACTGGTATTAAATCACCTTGAGGATGCTGTATAAACATAGTGCTCTATTGGTATTATCGTTGATAAGAGTGTAATGTGCCCTTGCACAATTTTTACATTGCCTTGTGATATTTGGTATGTGAATGCCACAAAGTATTGGGCTGTGCAGTATATCACTCCATCTGAGCTGTAGATATTTTTTTACAGTAATTTATATGGAGTGACTTTTGTGTCATTGCAGGGAAACAGTGTTTTATTGTGCTACGACAACAGAAATGGACGGTACAGGCTTTAGCTGCAGTAGGAGACAAAATCAGCAAACAAATGATAAAATTCATTGCAAGGTATTCATTTCTATTGCAATATACATGCATGTTACAAAACATTGTCATGGTGATTGCACTTTTTGCATTTGCATTTCTAGTCATTAATAAAACTTTGTATGTAGAATAAGTTTACCGTTGTCTGATATTACTTTTAAGAAGAGTCCTGTTGGCCAAAATGTTCAAAATATTTTTCAGTATACACAAGGAGTCCATTGTGGATGTTGAGGGTTTTGTTAGAAAAGTGGAGCAGGGAGTGGAGTCCTGTACTCAGCAAGATGTGGAATTACATTGTGTTCAGGTAAGATATGGATTACCACTGCCTATGGAATTACACTGCCTACAGGTGAGATGTGGAATTACACTGCCTACAGGTGAGATATGGATTAACACTGCCTACAGATGAGATATGGAATTACTCTGCCTACAGGCGAGATATGGAATAACTCTGCCTACAGGTGAGATATGGAATAACACTGTGTTCAGGTAAGATGTAAAATTACACTGTGTTCAGGTAAGATGTGGAATTACACTGTGTTCAGGTAAGATGTGGAATTACACTGTGTTCAGGTGAGATGTGTACACTGTGTTCAGGTGAGATGTTGAATAACACTGTGTTCAGGTGAGATGTGGAATAACACTGTGTTCAGGTGAGATATGGAATTGCATTGTGTAGTGCTGTGCGATATTACCGGTTAACCGGTGAGATTTCAAGAATATGGCGGCAAACGACGTGTGTTCAGGTGAGATGTGGAATAACACTGTGTTCAGGTGAGATGTGGAATTGCATTGTGTTCAGGTGAGATGTTGAATAACACCATGTTCAGGTGAGATGTTGAATAACACTGTGTTCAGGTGAGATGTGGAATTGCATTGTGTTCAGGTGAGATATTGAATAACACTGTGTTCAGGTGAGATGTTGAATAACACTGTGTTCAGGTGAGATGTGGAATTGCATTGTGTTCAGGTGAGATGTTGAATAACACTGTGTTCAGGTGAGATGTTGAATAACACTGTGTTCAGGTGAGATGTGGAAATGCATTGTGTTCAGGTGAGATGTTGAATAACACTGTGTTCAGGTGAGATGGTGAATAACACTGTGTTCAGGTGAGATGTGGAATTGCATTGTGTTCAGGTGAGATGTTGAATAACACTGTGTTCAGGTGAGATGTTGAATAACACTGTGTTCAGGTGAGATGTTGAATAACACTGTTCAGGTGAGATGTTGAATAACACTGTGTTCAGGTAAGATGAGGAATAACACTGCCATCACTCTGTCTAAGTGAGTAAAAGTTATGATCCACTAAATCACATAGTGTAGACAAATGATTTACTAAAGCACACAGCACTATGTTGGTTTTTCCTGATGTTAATTCCAATGTTCCAGTAGAAGTGTATAGCAAAATGTTGATCTTCACATTCTCTGCCCTATTGGGTTGGAGATATTGGGGTTTGACTGTACTTACACCTACTTTATTTTACAGGTGTGGGTGATCAGTTCAGCAGAACCACAGCTACCTTTACTGATAGAGGATGCATCTCGCCCAGAAACTGATGAAACAGTAAGTATTAAATGCAGTCAAACCTTAAGAAATTAAGTATAAAAACATTAAAACCTGTATTAAGTAATGATGAAACATAAGTATAAAATACAGCCAAACCTGTATTAGGAAACAAAGGGAAATCCTAAAATGTCAAAGTTACCTTGTGCTTTAAACATGATAAAGTAGATTTTTTTTTCCATTCACCACTGAGAGAATTTTTTATTAATGTGTTGTGTTAATAATACAACAATGAATTTGTCAATGTTAACAGTCCTATCAAGTGCACCAAAACATTGGAGGCTAAACTATCGGAGCTAAATGAAAAAACAAAAACCTCTTATTTTATTCAGTCCTTTTCTATGAATATTGTGAATTTGAATTTGGAATGAAATCTTGAATTAAACAATGCACAAGAGATTTCTGAGAGTGTGCCACTGCCAAAAATATGAAGCAGATGCTAAAATATTTGTTAACAGAATTGTGATTTACAGTTGTAACTTGTATTAAAGTTTCTGAGAAGAATCCCAATGGATGTATATTGCCATATTTGTATCTTGCTGCTTCCCTGAATTTATCAGCTTTATCTTTAAGCCTTTCAGGGTGAAAATTAGTTCCAAAAAAACATTTATTTATTCAAGTTCTTTTAACTTGAAGGAAAAGTTTCTGATTACTTAGCCTTAATTTTTGGTAAAAAATATTTATAGGGAAGGGATCTTAAAAAAAAAGATTTCTGCATGCATACAATGTTATGAGGTGAATATATCTTAATTTTAGAGTTTAGCAAAAGTAAACCAGGATACGAGACTTGACAACAGAATTCTGGATCTACGTACCACCACCAACCATGCTATATTTAGAATCACAGCAGGTGTGTGCCGGTTCTTCAGGGAGCACCTGGATAGTCAAGGATTCATAGAAATTCACTCCCCAAAGATCATCTCAGGTAAACTCAAGTCAAGGATTCATAGAAATTCACTCCCCAAAGATCATCTCAGGTAAACTCAAGTCAAGGATTCATAGAAATTCACTCCCCAAAGATCATCTCAGGTAAACTCAAGTCAAGGATTCATGGAAATTCACTCTCCAAAGATCATCTCATGTAAACTCAAGTCAAGGATTCATAGAAATTCACTCTCCAAAAATCATCTCAGGTAAACTCAAGTCAAGGATTCATAGAAATTCACTCTCCAAAAATCATCTCAGGTAAACTCAAGTCAATATCAGTATATTGTGATACTATTATGACCTCTGCCTTTCAGTACAAATACATGACACTGAATGTCTTTATATGAGCCTCGTCGGATAGAAATCGACCTTATCGTATGCAACGTCATAATGAGAAATAAACGAATAAAGTTAAGAAAGATTTCCCGGTATTTTTACTACTCATGGTTTTCACGTTAAGAAATGTTTTAGACATCGTTAACTGCAGTTCACAGATTTTGTCCTTAAAAATCGGATCATTTTAAATATGTACCAGTTAAATAAGCAAATTTTAAATGCATTTCCCTTCGTAGAGCCTTAACTTCTTTATCGTTACCATGGATCAATGTAAACACAGGCCAGAAGAATGCCGAGTCCGATCTACATATTTTTTTTTTTCGAACAGCAGAAGACGTGAGGTTTTATTTAACACCAGATAAAGATTAAGTTGGTAGACAAATAGCAAAGCAAAATTGGCTTTGTGCATTACCGAGGAAGTACAGAATATATCTTTTATTGTAGTTCAGAGTATAAATTTTAGCCAAAGGAGGAGTATCTGGCACAGAAAATCGAACATCACATGTACAGATGCAGTACTAGAGTGTGAACTTCATTTACTATCACCGTGCGTATTCATTCAACCAAGATAAATATATTCACAATATTATATTAGATATACTATATGTTTCATGTCTTCGAATTAATTTACGTGTAATGATTATGTCAAAGTTATATAGGAATTAACCAACCAAAAGAAAAACACATTGGGCCATTCCCAGTACAAGATGTACAATGGCCACGATTCATCAATTTTCAAAACGCATTTTTCTAGCAACAATATTCAAAGAATTATCAGGAAACAAGTAATACTGGTACTGTGTAAGGCAATTTCTTCATATACATCAGTAAACCTCAAACAAAAACACGTAGACTACCTTGACCGAAGCGACTGGATTCGATAAATTGCGCAAGTTGCTTCCCTTTGGCTCAATAAGAGGCTCAACATGGGGGAATCATTTCCTAAAAAGTTTTTTTTTCTTTTGTCTCTCTTCCATTTCTTACAGTATATCAGTTTATTTTCTTAAATTTTGCAAGTTTATAAAATATACCGACAATGGATTATCTATGATTTTAGTTTTCTTTTACTTGGCTGGCGAAACTGTTCAAAGAGGGGCGGCCATTTCATACCTATATATTGTGTGTATCATCTTGACCTTGTAGGGAGAGGGTTAAAATGGGATTTGCCTGCTGCACAATCCCATTCACTTTGCTTGAATAAAATTTTGTATAAATTTAAAAAACAAGATGGGCCCCGTTTGTGAAAAATATTCTTATACGTCATTAATATTTAAAAGAATTGTAAATAAAAAAAAAATTACTTTTCAGTCGAATGTTAAAAAAATAGCTTAGTGAAATGTGTTCCTAAATATTCACCTTAATATTTAGTATTTACTTTACAGCTAAAAAAAATCCTGAAATGAGCAGGATTTCACGTGTTCGTGATTCGTGAATAACAGGTATATAAATGGTTTCGCTTTGTACAAGGACTTTCAATTATAACATCAAAAAGTTCTCTACATTATAAAATTCTTATACAATTCCCACAACTGATACATGTAACTTATAAATCTCAAATGTTTTTTTTTTTTTTTTTTAATTTTTTTATTTTATAAAAAATCAGAAAACACATGCTATTAATTATGAAATGTCTATTTTACGTAATATTGTGTTGGACTGGGTTAGGAACGGGATAGCAGAATGTTGCCTGTGCGTTCCATCATAAATATTATTTTTTCTCTAGAGAGGAGAATTAATGTTTTTTTCCTTTTTTTTGGGGGGGGGGGGACTTCTAAAGTCAGCACATATACACGTAAGGCTTCCTTGCTGGCTAAATATGATATAATTTATTTTAGAATCCTACGCACCCTAGCTGAATCCCACTATCTAATTCATAGCATTAATTATCCTTTTTAACTGGTTTAACAGTATTTCCTAATAAAATGATTATTAAGAAATTCTCAATAGAGTCTACGTAATCAATTGTTTTTTAAACATTCAGTTCGTTTGCAGTAATTGAATTATAAAAGAAAGAAAATGTGCCACATGGTTTTATATTGTAATTCAACATAGCCTGTGTTTTTGTTTTTCTTTTCCTCAATATATTTCTAATACTCCGGTTAACAAAGAAATTATAATTTTTGCGTTTCTGAAGTTCATATTAATCTCTTCATTTTTTTCTGTTGATCTAAGATATTTTGTAAACTGTATGTAAATTCTCTTTTTTCAAATGCATTGTTATCACCCGGTGATGAGAATGAGATCACCCTTGGGTATCCGATGATGTTAAACTATATGCTATAAAAAAAAACATCCGACTTCCGCCTAAAACGTCAGAATGAAGAGATTATTTAAACAATACGCACAAATCGTCCAAAAATAACGCATGCATATTTATTGAATGGAGAATTTCGGCCAATATGTATACATGTTTATGTATACATATTTCTCGTGACTTTTCACTACATGTAAATATAAATGAAAATCTTTTTAAATTAGCTGGCTTTTCTCTTATACTAAGTAAATAATGTAGGAATGATGCATAATTATCATTATTTTTTTACAATATTACATTTTAGAGACTTTTAGATTATTTACATCAAATTGATTTTTAAGGTAATGTTATGGTACATTATGATCGAGATATTTTGTTGATGAACACAGTCAGAAATCTTTTTAAATGGTTGACATATTCTTTTTTAATTACCGTCAGATGGAACGTTAAATACTAGTAGTTCCCTATGTCAAGGTTTACAACTTTGTGTCCATGTATTTTGCATGCAACAGATATAGATTACCCGCCGATAATGGCTGAAATCTTGGCGACTCGGCGTTAAGCAAAAATCAATCAATCAATGATCTGTATACTGCTTAAAATGATATTCTATTAATTCTACATATTTATTTTTGTACATTATGGATAATAGAAATTTGATATAAAAAAAACGAACGGGTTTTTATTGGGAAAGGGGGGGGGGGGAGTTATAATGAAGGCAAAGTAGAATGTGGCTGCAGTAGAAACAGTTATATGAAAAAATCCTAATAAAATGAGCCACTCTGAGACACAAGGCTACGTATCACACCATGCATGTTTGATTTCACGTTATCATTATATACAAATTGATGTGATTTTTTTTTTCAATTTAACTTAAGAATAATTATCGTAGCATGATTTTAGTTGTGATTTTATTGGCTGCATGGTTCATGTATTTTCTGTAAGAATCGAGGTATTTCTGAGATCGACCCCCTGTAAATTTGGACTCGATCGCATTGGTTTCTTTTTCCTTTACATGGGGATTACGTAAAATCAAACAAAGTGTGTTAACCAACTTGCATGCTTTGAGGATACAGGCTTTATCAAACGTTAAATCAGCATACATGTAGATCTATATTTTGTTAATTGAAAGTTCAGTTGTTCATAGAGACGAATTTGTCGGTATGAAAGACGGAAAAGTAGAAATAAAAAATCTTTTTTTTTGGGGGGGGGGTATTCGGTTTTTAAAGGATCTAAAATACAGTTAACACAGTTTTGGGGATTGTAGATTATGATCAACTATTTTTGTCATTAATTAAGCATTTTGTTTAACTTAGACAGGATGACAACTTGGATTGCTAAGCGATGACAGGTGCCCCAAGTTCAAACATCATGTAAACCATGACGTCACAATTGAATCGTGAAAAAAAACTACGATATGCTCAGAGTTAATTTTGCAGACATACCAATTTCAAAATGTAATAACTTTGTTATAAATGCAGATATTTTTATTCTGTTTTCAGTTTTTGTCGTGATTTTACATGGACCACCAAAATACACAAAAATCTCAAATTCGATAAATTTTGCCATAAGGTCGATTTCTATCCGACGAGGCTCATATGTTACTCAATCTTTTCCGAACATTCATGCAATAAATTGTTTCAAACAAGCAAAAACTTTAAAAATGAACATAAACTTTTATTATAAATTCGGCACTGCTTTTGACTAATAACACAAATTATAATTTCAGTCTTCAATGAATGTAATTAAGGTATTTATTTTTAACCAACAGCTGCCTCGGAGGGTGGAGCCAATGTGTTCATAGTGTCCTACTTCAAGTCCAAAGCCTTTCTAGCTCAGTCTCCACAGCTCTACAAACAGATGTGTATATGCTCGGACTTTGACAAGGTCTACACTGTAGGAGCAGGTCAGTCTACCTAGGCATTTGTCATCAGATACATACAAGCATGAGGCAATGAGAGTTTACAGTCTCTGTGTTTTAGAATTTACCAGCACCCAATCTAATTAGATCTGCTCTGTATACACTCTGCATAAGGAGATCTGACATAACCAGATAATCTGACTAGAGGTCATGTTCATGTAAACTTCTTACACAGTGTAACAGGAAGGGAGAAAATATATATATGGCTGGACTGGGAATCGATTGGGACCCCTGCATCTCCAGTCAGGTGCTCTACCAATTGAGCTATGCAGACCGATATCCACTTCCCAAACCATTACAACAGAGTGTATATGGTGTGGGTCTAGGAAGTTTGTACCAGCATCATCAAAGAAATACATGTACATGAAAATAAAAAATGAAATTTAATTAAATTTAAAAAAAAGGAATTTATTTTCAAAATTTCAATGAGTTGAAGAAGCTACTCCATAGTGTTTCATTTCAAGATATTTAAAACAAAATGCAGAGCAGAGGTTCTAAAGCAGACTATGAATTATTAGAAATAGTGAAAAACATCTGAATATTTTGTCACATCAAGACTTTCAATATGAAAAGAATCCAGTGTGAATTCTTTTCATGTTTGATTTACTTTAAGAATTTCTATTTGGTTTACATTGAATTTTAGGACGTGACTTTTGCCGTCTTTATTATGATTTTTAATTATATTCCCAGTGTTCCGAGCTGAGGACTCTAACACCCATCGACATCTGACGGAGTTTGTTGGATTAGATCTGGAGATGTCATTCAAATTTCACTACCACGAAGTCTTAAAGGTCATAGGGGACATGTTTATCAACATTTTCAAAGGTCTCAGAGATAAGTAAGTCTAGAGATGTTTCCTCTGATCTCTATTTTGAAGTTTTTCATTTTCAAAGACAATTTAAATTGGCCTTGATTCTTTATTAATTTCATAATTGTATAAATTTCATTAAATCAATGCATTAAAAGTTGAATTGAGATAGTGTTACTTCTTTTAAGTGTGACAGTTATTATCTTATTGTTTCTTATAAATATTTTCCCCTCATATTAATACTTGTAAAGCAACTTGTACATTATTGATTTACTTTAGGTGCAAATACAGACAATACATGTATCCTATGAGAAAAAATTATAACTAACATCTTGTACATCAAAATTAGAATTATTAAATTAAAAAAAAAAATTTAAGTGTCAAATTACCGTATACTGGGTAAGTAGAAATTTTAGCGAGACGCAAATTTAGCGATTTGTCCTGAAAAACTGGTATTTCATTTTTAGCTCACCTCAACGAAGTTGGGGGAGCTTATGTAATACCCTCGGCATCGGTGTTGGCGTCCCAGGTTAAGGTTAAGTTTTTTTGAGCAGTTTTCTTTTTAAGTACTTCTATGTCCTATATTGAATATACATGCATGGAAGATGCTTCTAGTGTGTTTCATTGTACCAGTCAAAGTTTCAGATGCTGCTATTTCAGCAAAGGAATGACCAGGTTAATGTTTTTGGAGCAGGTTAACATTTTTGGTACAGTTTTTGGTGTACGTCTCATTTCCAAGGAACTATAAGCCCTATGTTGACCAAACTTACATGGATGATACATCTAAGGATGTACACTACAAGACTTGCTTCGGATGCTGAATCTGACCTGCATTTTCCGGTTGAGTGAACAGGTTAATGTTTTTGGTGCAGGTCGCTTTTCCAAGTAACTGTAAGCCCTATGTTGACCAAACTTACATGGATGATTCATCTAAGGATGTACACTACCAGACTTGCTTCGGATGCTGAATCTGACCTACATTTTCCAGTTGAGTGAACAAGTTAATGTTTTAGGTGCTGTGCAGGTGTCATTTCCAAGTAATTATAAGCCCTATGTTGATCAAACTTGCATGGATGATACATCTAAGGATGCACATTACCGGACTTGCTTTGGATGCTGAATCTGACCTACATTTTCCAGATGAGTAAACATCCTAAAAATTTTAATGCAGGTTTCATTTCCAAGTTACAATGAGAATTATAATGACTAAACTTGCAGGATGATACATCTTAGGATGCATACTATCAGACTTGCTTCGGATGCTGAATCTGATCTACATTTTTTTCTTGATGAGTGAAGAGGTTAAATTTTTATGCAAGTTTCATTTCTAAGTAACTAGTTGCCCTATGTTGTTCAAACTTGCATGGATGATACATCCTAGGATGCACACAAATGGACTTGCTCCAGATGCTGAATTCGACATACATTTTCCAGATAATGGACCAGGTAAAAGTTATGGGTGCAGGTCTATTACCAATAACTATAAGGCTTATATAAACCAAACTTGCCCAAATGATGCATCAAGGGATGAGAACTCTCAAACTTGCTTCAGATGCTGGATTTTAATCACATTTTTTTTGATGAAGAACTAGTTTGAAGTTTTTATATTCGTCTATTCCAAAGTATCAGATCAAAATTGCATAAATTTTGCATTTTTGAGTGTACACTTTTTGTTGGGTAATTGTGTGACTTTGCCTTACTTAAAGACAACATTCGTTGAGGTGAGCTCTGTAATCTCTGATTACCTATGTTTAGTAAGATGTAGTTTTAGCAATTTTAAAATGTTCTCTAAAGAACCTATTACAAATGCAATAAATTTTTAGCGCTATGTAATTTTAGTGATCTCAGCACCCTCGCCAATAATGCCAAAATTAAATCCTCGCTAAAATTTCTACTTATACGGTATGCATATTTATTGAGTATAATGATGCATAACTTTGAATTGATAGAAATCAGGTGTAATAATTTAGAATACTGTACAGTATTTTTTAATGATTAAAATTAAGATACAAGTTTATGCATAAATATTACACTTTGAAGTTAAAGACCACTATCACAATCTTGATGAGACTTCTTCATATGTTATTTATTTTGACGAACATATCAGTTTTATCCATGGTTCTTTTCAGTTTTAAAGAGGAAATTGAAACAGTCAACAAGCAGTATCCAGCCGAACCTTTCAAATTTTTGGAACCAAGGTGAGTTTTATTAGGCCAAGTGGAATTTTAGTTAAAGATGATTCTTAACAACACACAATATTTTGTTAATATGCATTGAAAAATACAGGAAACTGAGTATCTGTACACAACTTGGCCTTTCTTCATTTTAAAACTAAAGAGTAAAGCATATATATGGAGAGGTTTTTTGTGCGATAGGCAGTGAGTAACTTATTACTCAATTTACTCTTAAGAATCTTAATTTACTCAAAAGCATCAGGAACCCTATATTTGTAAAAATAGATGGGTTTTAGCTGTAATTTTTTGTCTTAATGAACAAATGAGTGCTTGAGTACTCAATTTAAAGGGCAGGAAAGTAACATGTTACTTAAATTTGATCAATATGACAACCTTAAGTTGTACACTATGTGACCTTGTGTGACTCTATGTGACCCTGTAGTCTGGTGCTGGAGTACCCGGAGGCCGTGAGAATGCTGAGGGAGAATGGAGTGGAGATGGGAGAGGAAGATGATCTCAGTACCCCCGCCGAGAAACTCCTGGGGCGACTCGTCAAAGCCAAGGTAAAGGGCAGGTTTAACAACAGTTTTGCTGGATATTTTATATGTTGTATGATTTTTTTCCATGACTGCATTAAAAAATAAAGTGTCAAATAAATGAAAATGATTATATTTTGTTGTGGCAATGATATAATTTTATACTAATCTTAAGATTATTAAAATGAGATAATCATTAAAACAACCAATGAAATGCAAGATGACCACCTGTCATTCAGTAACATAATTATGTGTACTGGTTATGTCTTATGTAAAAAATTCTGATGTAGGAACAATAAATATGCTTATTTTTCAAATCAGACTTAGGGAATGCTATTTCAATATATCACTCTTTCCTAACAAATGTACATGTCTTTTTATGAAAATGTAGAGAAATATGTTACAGTAATAAAATCATAATAGACGTACATGTAAATAGGTCTTCTAAAATATCTTGATGTAAGGCAGTATCTGAGAGAATAAATCCCAAATCCCTCTATTGAAAAAATTCTATTTTATAGTATGACACAGACTTCTACATTCTGGACAAGTTTCCATTGGCCGTTCGACCTTTCTACACGATGCCTGACCCCAATAACCCGGTATGTCTGTCTGTATTACTCAATCAGATAATAAAGCATCAGAGGCTTCAAAAAACGTGGATTTTTTTCCTGTGAATCCTGGAAATGTTTGTGGTAGATTCCATTAAAAAATGTATCTTGTATTTTTTTTAAAAGAAATATTCAAATTCGTATGACATGTTTATGAGAGGAGAGGAAATTTTATCTGGTGCTCAGCGAATTCACAACCCGGCTTTCTTAGTAGAGAGGGCAGCAGAACATGGCGTCAGTAAGTACCTTGTAAATATAAAATTAATGACCCGAGCCTATCAGTATATATACATGTATATATCAATCCTTGCAGTTCAACCTTGTGTATTGACAGATAAAACCCACTTGCAATCTTCAGATTTTAAAATTGTGCAGTGCTTAATAAGCATTTTATAGTTTAGAGCATAGTTGTTTCCATGTATTAAAGGGTAAGGTTATATTTTAATCCTATTATTTTGTTATCTAGGTCTGGACAGTATCAAGGCATACATTGACTCCTTTAAATATGGGGCACCTCCCCATGCTGGCGGGGGCATAGGCAAGTATTTCTGTGTTTAGCAGTTTTTGTCTAGAATTTATCCATTTATTTGAGGATGGCTTTAAGATTGCTTAAACCCGCTTATAATTAAGTGTCAAAGATGGACGATTTTGATTCCTTTCAAAAGTAATTTGTTATATCCGTTAAGTTCACAATATATTTCAAAGCTTTGGCGAATGAAAATCACTTTGCTGTAAGCGCAAATTCATTAAAAGCGTGTTTGCTACAACCTTGTTTTACTGTATTTGATATTAAATAATGTTTATGTCAAAAGATCTCCACACTGTAATGCAAATGTTTTATACCTGTTTACAGGTTTGGAGAGAGTCACCATGTTATATCTGGGACTTGACAATATCAGGAAAACCTCTCTCTTCCCACGAGACCCCAAACGATTGACTCCATGAAGACACAGTTATAGATTTATAATTAATTCTTCTGGCAACATTGCAATATAGGCTCTGGTTCTTTCTACAGAATGTTATTGTTTT